GTCAGTGTTAATGTTAGAGTTGCTTTGTCCGTGTTAATGTTAGAGTTGCTTTGTCTGTGTTAATGTTAGAGTTGCTTTGTCCGTGTTAATGTTAGTGTTGCTTTGTCTGTGTTAATGTTAGAGTTGCTTTGTCCGTGTTAATGTTAGTGTTGCTTTGTCTGTGTTAATGTTAGAGTTGCTTTGTCCGTGTTAATGTTAGTGTTGCTTTGTCTGTGTTAATGTTAGAGTTGCTTTGTCCGTGTTAATGTTAGTGTTGCTTTGTCTGTGTTAATGTTAGAGTTGCTTTGTCCGTGTTAATGTTAGTGTTGCTTTGTCTGTGTTAATGTTAGAGTTGCTTTGTCCGTGTTAATGTTAGTGTTGCTTTGTCTGTGTTAATGTTAGAGTTGCTTTGTCCGTGTTAATGTTAGTGTTGCTTTGTCTGTGTTAATGTTAGAGTTGCTTTGTCCGTGTTAATGTTAGTGTTGCTTTGTCTGTGTTAATGTTAGAGTTGCTTTGTCCGTGTTAATGTTAGTGTTGCTTTGTCTGTGTTAATGTTAGAGTTGCTTTGTCCGTGTTAATGTTAGTGTTGCTTTGTCTGTGTTAATGTTAGAGTTGCTTTGTCCGTGTTAATGTTAGTGTTGCTTTGTCTGTGTTAATGTTAGAGTTGCTTTGTCCGTGTTAATGTTAGAGTTGCTTTGTCTGTGTTAATGTTAGAGTTGCTTTGTCCGTGTTAATGTTAGTGTTGCTTTGTCTGTGTCGATGTTAGTGTTGCTTTGTCTGTGTTAATGTTAGAGTTGCTTTGTCCGTGTTAATGTTAGAGTTGCTTTGTCTGTGTTAATGTTAGAGTTGCTTTGTCCGTGTTAATGTTAGGGTTGCTTTGTCTGTGTTAATGTTAGGGTTGTTTTGTCAGTGTTAATGTTAGAGTTGCTTTGTCTTTGTTAATATTAGAGAGGCTTTGTCTGTGTCAATGTTAGGGTTGCTTTGTCTGTGTTAATGTTAGGGTTGCGTTGTCTGTGTTAATGTTAGAGTTGATTTGTCTGTGTTAATGTTACGATGGCTTTGTCTTTGTTAATGTTAGTGTTGCTTTGTCTGTGTTAATGTTAGAGTTGCTTTGTCCGTGTTTATGTTAGGGTTGCTTTGTCTGTGTTAATGTAAGGGTTGTTTTGTCAGTGTTAATGTTAGAGTTGCTTTGTCTTTGTTAATGTAAGGATTGCTTTGTCCGTGTTCATGTTAGTGTTGCTTTGTCTGTGTTAATGTTAGGGTTGCTTTGTCTGTGTTAATGTTAGGGTTGCGTTGTCTGTATAAATGTTAGAGTTGCTTTGTCTGTGTTAATGTTACGATGGCTTTGTCTTTGTTAATGTTAGTGTTGCTTTGTCTTTGTTAATGTTAGTGTTGCTTTGTCTGTGTTAATGTTAGTGCTGCTTTGTCTGTGTCGATGTTAGAGTTGCTTTGTCTGTGTCGATGTTGGTGTTGCTTTGTCTGTGTTAATGTAAGGATTGCTTTGTCCGTGTTAATGTTAGGGTTGCTTTGTCTGTGTTAATGTTAGGATTGTTTTGTCAGTGTTAATGTTAGAGTTGCTTTGTCTTTGTTAATATAAGAGAGGCTTTGTCCGTGTCAATGTTAGGGTTGCTTTGTCTGTGTTAATGTTAGGGTTGCGTTGTCTGTGTTAATGTAAGAGTTGCTTTGTCCGTGTTTATGTTAGGGTTGCTTTGTCTGTGTTAATTTTAGGGTTGTTTTGTCAGTGTTAATGTTAGAGTTGCTTTGTCTTTGCTAATATTATAGAGGCTTTGTATGTGTCAATGTTAGGGTTGCTTTGTCTGTGTTAATGTTAGGGTTGCGTTGTCTGTGTTAATGTTAGAGTTGCTTTGTCTGTGTTAATGTTACGATGGCTTTGTCTTTGTTAATGTTAGTGTTGCTTTGTCTTTGTTAATGTTAGTGTTTATTTGTCTGTGTTAATGCTAGTGTTGCTTTGTCTTAGTTGCTTTGTCCGTGTTAATGTAAGGATTGATTTGTCTGTGATTATGTTATGATTGGTTTGTCTGTGTTTATGTTAGGATTGGTTTGTCTTTGTTTATGTTAGGATTGGTTTGTCTGTGTTTATGTTAGGATTGGTTTGTGTGTGTTTATGTAAGGATTGGTTTGTCCGTGTTAATGTAAGGATTGGTTTGTCTGTGTTTATGTTAGGATTGGTTTGTCTGTGTTCATGTTAGGATTGGATGTCTGTGTTTATGTAAGGATTGATTTGTCTGTGTTTATGTTAGGATTGGTTTGTATGTGTTTATGTAAGGATTGGTTTGTCTGTGTTCATGTTAGGATTGTTTTACCTGTGTTCATGTTAGGATTGTTTTCCTGTGTTCATGTTTTGTACACAGACATAACATGAATGCCTGGATATTAATATCTTAACATCCGAAGGGACGTTTGGTTCGTTTGTAAAACAGTTTATACAACGATGTTATAATTTTGTATGTTTTGTTCAAGCTCAGTGATGATTTCAGAATAATGTTTACTGTTGTTTTCAAGCAATATGTTTTTAATGCAGCTAGTGTTGTTTTTGATCCCCAAAGATAAATATGATGATGGCAGGGTATGTGTTTTGTAAGTTGGAGCAATCCCTAAGATGACACAATGTTTAAGTGGTAGGCTATTGTTTATTTTTGTCAATAAAGCAATCTATGTGTTGACGCTACGTTTTTTGTTCGATTTTGTTAATAAGGCAATATCTGTGACGACGCTAGGTCTATGTATATTTTGTGAATAAAGCAATCTCTGTGACGACGCAAGGTCTATATGTGTTTTGTGAATAAGGCAATCTCTATGACGACGCTAGGTCTATGTATATTTCGTGAATAAAGCAATCTCTGTGACGACGCTAGGTCTATATGTGTTTTGTGAATAAGGCAATCTCTATGACGACGCTAGGTCTATGTGTGTTTTGTCGATAGAGCAATCTTTGTAATGACACAATGTTTATGTTTGTTTCGTCAATAAAGCAATCTTTGTGATGACGCTAGGATTATGTGAGTTTTTGTCAAGAAAATTAAACATCCCTGTGATGACGCTAGCTTTGTTCGTTTTTGTCAAGAACACAATCTCTTTCAGTTAAACAATATCTGTGATGACGCAAGGTTCATGTGTGATTTTGTCAATATAACAATCTCTGTGATGACGTTAGGTTCATGTGTGATTTTGTCAATATAACAATCTCTGTGATGACGTTAGGTTTATGTGTGTTTTTGTCAGTTGAACAATATCTGTGATGGCGCTAGGTGTGTGCTTGTTTTTGTCAATAAAGCAATATGACGCTGGGCGTATGTTCGTTTTTGTCAACAAAACAATCTCTGAGTCTGTGATGGTGCTAGATGTATGTTTGTTTCCTTAGTTAAACAATCTCTGTGATGGCTCTAGGTTTATGTTTGTTTCTGTCAATAAAACAATCACTGTAACGACGCCAGGTTTATGTGTGTTTTGTTTATAAAGCAATATCTGTGATGACGCCAGCTTTATGGGGTTTTCTGTATATAGAAATATCTCTGTGGTGTTTTGATAGTGATTGTTTTCCATTGTTGATTGTGGAAAGATTGTAACTACTCGGACAGTTTATCTGTAAATCCATGTTTGCAATGATACGATGAAGTATGTTTTGTTTCACTAAAACTATGATTATTTTTTTTTTACTAAAACTATGATTATGTTTCTGTGATGACGTTAGGTTCAAGTGTTTATTTGTCAATAAAACAATATCTGTGATGATTCTAGCTAAATGTGTTTTGTTTTGTCAATAAAACACTATCTGTGATGATGTTAAGTTTATGTTTGTTTTTGTTAATATAAAAATCTTTGTGATGATGCCAGGTGTATGCGTGTTTTTGTCAATAAAGCAATATCTTTGATGATGCTAGGTGTATGTGTGTTTTGTCAATAAAGCAATATCTTTGATGATGCTAGATTTACGTGTGGTTTTGTCAATAAAATAATCTCGGCGATGACGCCAGGTTTATGTTTGTTATTTTGTCAATAAAACAATCCTTGCGATGACGCCAGGTTTATATGTGTTTTTTGTCAATAAAGCAATACCTGTGATGAAGCTAGATGTGTGTGTGATTTGTCAATAAAGCAATGTCTGTAATGACGCCAGGTTTATGCTTGTGTGATTTGTCAATAAAGCAATGCCTGTGATTACGTCAGGTGTTTGCTTGTTTTTGTCAATAAAGTAATACCTGTGATGATGCTAGATGTGTGTGTGATTTGTCAATAAAGCAATGTCTGTAATGACGCCAGGTTTATGCTTGTGTGATTTGTCAATAAAGCAATGCCTGTGATTACGTCAGGGTTTTGCTTATTTTTGTAAATAAAACAATATCTGTGATGATGCTCGGTTTACGTGTGTTTTTGTCAATAAAACAATATATGTGATGACGCTAAGTTTATTTCCCATTTTAAAATATTGAATGATTGTAAGTATCGCGTCAGTTTGTCTATAAAGCCATGTTTGCAATGATGCGAGGATATATGTTTTACTCCACTAAAACTATGATTATATTTCTGTGATGCCGCTAGGTTTATGCTTGTTTCTGTCAATAAAACAATATATGTGACGATGCTAAGTAATTTTTTTTTGTTTTTTGTCAAAGTATCATTCTCTGTGATGATGCTAGGTTTATGTGGGGTTTTTAATAATATTACAGTCTCTGTAATAATGCTATATTTGTATGTTTTTTTTACACAATATCTGTGATGACGCTAGGTATATGTTTGTATCAAGATAACAATCTTGGTGATGACTCTGGGTTTATGTTTGCTTGTGTGAATTACACAATATCTGTGATGACGCCAGGTTTATGTGTGTTTTGTCAATAATGCAATATCTGTGAAGACGCAAGGTTTATGTGTGTTTTGTCAATAAAGCAATATATGTGATGACGCAAGGTTTATGCTTGTTTTTGTCAATAAAGCAATGTCTGCGATGACGCAAGGTATATGTGTGTTTTGTCAATAATGCAATATCTGTGAAGACGCAAGGTTTATGTGTGTTTTGTCAATAAAGCAATATATGTGATGACGCAAGGTTTATGCTTGTTTTTGTCAATAAAGCAACGTCTGTGATGACACCAGGTTTATGTGTGTTTTGTCAATAAAGAAATATATGTGATGACGCAAGGTTTATGCCTGTTTTTGTCAATAAAGCAACGTCTGTGATGACGCCAGGTTTATGTGTGTTTTGTCAATAAAGCAATATATGTGATGACGCAAGGTTTATGCTTGTTTTTGTCAATAAAGCAACGTCTGTGATGACGCCAGGTTTATGTGTGTTTTGTCAATAAAGCAATACCTGTGACGACGCAAGGTCTATATGTATTTTGTGAATAAAGCAATCTCTGTGACGACGCTAGGTCTATATGTGTATTGTCGGTAGAGCAATCTATGTAATGACACAATGTTTATGTTTGTTTCGTCAATAAAGCAATATCTGTGATGATGCTAGGTTTATGTTCGTTTTTGTCAATTTAACAATCCCTGCGATGACGCTAGGCTTATGGGGTTTTCTGTACATAGAAATATCTCTGTGGTGTTTTGAGAATGATTGTTTTCCCTTTTTGATTGTAGAAAGGTTGTTGTTAGGGTCAGTTTTCACTGTAAATCAATGTTTGCAAAGATGCGAGGATGTAAGTTTTGTTTCACTAAATGTTTTTACTAAAACTGATAATTTTTGTTGTTCTTTTTAAAGCATTCTTGGTGATACGAGGTATTGCTTGATCTGTGTATAATCATCTGTGATGAAACTTAGATTATTTCTGTGTTGTCTACAAATATATTTTAGTAATAAAGCTTGAATTAGATTTGATTCTGTGATGTATTATGTTTTGATTTTCAAGCAATCCCTAGGATGACTTGATGTACTTAAGTAATATCGCTGACCATTTTAAGTTCATGTTGGCTTTCCGGAATGTGTCGATATGAAGGTTGCGTTAGTTCTACTTTTGAGGTGTGTTTGCGATGTTTTTTGGTTAATGTATATGGCTCTGATGCATTGTTTGGAGAATAAAGTGAACAACAATTTTCATTGATGCTAGGATGTAATGCTATTTTTGAAAAAGGACTGCAGTCTATGTTATGATGCTAGGATGTAATGCTATTTTTGAAAAAGGACTGCAGTCTATGTTATGATGCTAGGATGCTGTGTGGTTTCTCGACGAAACCATTTCAAAATAATGCCGTGGTGAATCTATATTATAGAGACAGAGGCGTGCTGATGTTGGCTTTTAACCAAAATTTGGGATACTGCTGGGTTTTGTCTTTTATCATTAAAATAATATCTTAAATGATGTTACGATACTTTTTCTCCTATCTAACAATATTTTCGATGATGGTGACAGTGTTTTGCTTTGTTTTCCTTTGGCAAAGCAAATTTTCCGATGTAAGGATTATGTTTGTATTATATGTAAAACAATCTTAATCTTTATGTTCGGATTTTGTATTGTTCTATGAAGAAATATTCTATGGTGATGCAATGTCTATAATGAGCTAACGATCCTATTTATTTTATCTGTAAAATAGTATCTTTCGTGTCGTTGGATCTATGTTTGCTTTATGTTTGACGTTCTATCTATGCTGATGCCAAGATTGTTTAAATTGTGTCTCTGATGCCACCTTTTCAATCAAGCAATATATGTTATGACGTTAGCTTTATGTATGTTTTTGTCAATAAAACCATATCTATGATGACGCCAGGCAAATGTGTGTGTTATGTCAATAGTTCAATCTCTGTGATTATGCTAGGTTTATGTATGTGTGTTTTTGTCAATATATCAATCTCTGTGATGATATTGTTGGATCTATGTTTGCGTTATGTTAGACGCCAGGATTAATTTGGTTAGCTCTGGTGCCACCTTTTCAATAATGATAGAATAATGTTTGATTTGTGTAAATCACGATTTCTACGTCTCTTGTAATGCTAAGCCCATATATGTATTTTGTCTATAACATACTGTACATGTGTATGGTAGTGATGTGGTTATGTATGCAACGGTATTTCTTAATTTGGTGATGATGATAATGTTTTGATTAATATGTGATGATTCAAGAAGAATATTTGTTAAATTGTTAAATAATATCTATTATATTATGTTAAGATTATGTTTGTTGTGTATATAACAATTGTTTTGCGAGACTTATGTTTGTATATCTGTAAAGCAATACTTTCTAAGATGCTAGGACTATGTTTGGATGATGCTGTGATCATGTTTGAATAATGAGAGACGTTAACTATGTCGTTATGGTTCTTAAAATCATTATAAATGCATGTTTATGTTTATTCAATGTGCAACCCGTGTTTCAAGGTTTTCTTATTCACGTGATAAGAATAATATTGCAGAGTTAAGCTATTGTTTTCTCTAGAAATACAAACAGCATGCTGATCTGTTTGTGTCAGGTGTAGTGCTTTGTCTGTTTGTTGTGTAACGAACCTTTTCTTCTTTTTCTACAGATTGGAGGATAGAAAGATGATTGTACTTTTTGTGACAACAATTGTACAACATTGTAAGATAAAATCTAATCAGAAGAATACGTCGGAGAAACATCGATTTGACTTGTGTTACTCTGAGCGTAACATTACTTTAGATAGGATCGACATTATTCTAGAAGATTGAAAAGTATATGAGTTTGATAGTCTATAAACCTCGTGAATGACGCTTGACGTTCCATGAATGTTTTGATGTCTTATCAAACGTTTCGTATGACTTACAATGCTGTAAGTATCACCGTGAAAGGACCGTATCCTGGCCGGTCACCGATGTCCAAATGCTCCGTGGCACCAAAACCTGGCCATTTTACGATTGTTCAGGAATGTACATTACTCAGGCTTCGTCACACCTCAGCTGTGTGTAGCCCGCCTTTACCACGCGATCACGATGCAGCTTTCGCCACCAGAGGCAGAAACCGATTACCATGACCGAGAGGAGAATCAATGACGTCATTGCCATGCCCAGTAGCATGTTGGCATCATAGGCATACTCCCAGGCATCCTCCTCCTCCTCTTGCTGAAAATAATTCAAACTGCCAACTTTAATTGATGTCAATGGCATGTCGATAATTTAGTAATATGCAAACAAGATGATACAACTCTAATACAGCAGAGACTAATGTTATCATAAATATCAAACAATATATACAACTTATCAAAATGTAAGTAAATAAAAGAAAGAGTTAATTGACAAAAATACATTTTAAAAAGTTTTCACTTCATGAGTTTTTCGGGTGCATAGTAACAGTCAGTTGTGGAAAATAATCATCTTGAAGATGTGAGGTCAAGAAAATTGGAACATGTATTAATCGTCTTGACCCGCATCTTCAAGGTGATTTTTTTTGATGATAGTTGTAGCCTTCGTTTACAAGCTATCCAAGGGGATATGCGGATTGCTCTGAATATTTAACTATTTCCTTTGTCTGCATTGACGTTATTACTTCTAAGCATATTTATATACATGTACCACGCCATTAACACAAATCGGTATTCAGGTAAATACATATAGGAACCGCGACATTGAAACAAAAGGAAAGAAATCACCAGCCACAAATGACACCACAGGAGAATGTGGGGGGATGGTCCTGCGTCCAATGTGGCTCTCGACAAGATATCTCCCGTCAAATTATTGGAAGTGTGCAGGTCACCAAAGACCTAAGCCTTCTATCAGGGTATGTGTTTATCTGTAATCATTGTGGCTTCCTTGTTACTATCCAAGTTCAATCTTTGTGAACGTGACATTACTAGGATTTGTCATAAGTGTATATGGCGAGTATCATACATGAAGAAGAAAACGCAAATCCTTCCGAATTTCAAGATCGTGTTCTCCTTGAACGTTTTCGAACATGTCCGTGTAAATAACTTTAGTACAATAATAGTAGCTGGTATCAGACTGGTACTTCTAAGAAAGGGAAGATTAAATAATAAATGCCCTCACGTTTGTAAAGTCAATAATATCAATAATATCAAGTTCTTTCTTTCGATACCTGCTTCCATCAGTAATTGTGTTTTTTCTCTAGTAGTTTGAAACATTGTGTTCATTTTACCATCACTTACAGTAATTGTGCTGTTTCTCTACTACATACAGTAATTGTTATTTGTGTACTTTTTCATAGTAATTATGTTTGTTTTTCTACTTCATAACTGATTGCGTTCAATTCTTCAATAATTATAAAATCATTCTGAAACACTGACTAAAAGGTGATGTGTTCAAAAGATAAAAACGACAGATCGGTATACCCAATAATAACGTTCTAAGGACACTGATAGCTGGTGACCCACCATTCACACTGATACTACGTACCGTGTTCTCTAAGGCTGCACCATTCTCCTCGGGATTAAAGGGTTCGACTCCGATCAGGTGTCCGGGGTCAGTCCACGCTCCTGTTGATGCCGAGCTCATGGAAGATGACGAAATGCTTGAAGACTTCGTACCGGTCGAGTTCCTGAACTTTGTGTCGTCATCGCATACGTCACTCCGATAACCACACTTAGAAATTGTATCCGATATTGTCGATATATCGGGAATAAACCACTTCCAGGGCTCAAAACTGAAAGGTAAGGTCCTTATATAACAGCAACAATTAAACTTACTTCTTTGTACATTATTTTCATGATTTATTTTCTTGTGTACTTATGGCATTTTTTGACAAATTATTTTCATAGTTTATGAAAGATATATATTTGTTGAATATTAAATTCAAAGTTGAGAAATGACAAAATTGAGATCATATATTAACAAATTCCGATTCGAATTCGGTATAGATATCTACTTACCTGGTTAAAACCGAGGTACTCTGCGGACACTTGTGTTCAAGGCAAAGGAATGTACGTGTAATCTGCAAAGAACAATGAACATCATTAGTCAATTTCAGGTTATATGTTTTTCTCTCATGATTATTTTGTTTTTAGATCGAATTCAGGTCAGGTTCATTGGAGTAATTTTTTCAACTTCATAATAATCTCATTACAGAATATATCTTACCTGTGTTTCCGGTGATTTACAGTTGTTCTCAAAAGTATCATCATACTGCAAAGTCAAATAATTTTACTTATGAACACATGTTGGTCAGGATCGATAACTATTGGTCTCCTCATGTATAATACAGATGTCTGTAAATAGTTAATGTGTGTGTGTTATCTTTCAGATGGAATATATTAATAAAAACTGCATTCAAATCACTCATGTACACTCATCATTATAACTTCTTACATTATAGAGTTGATGCTTATGTGTTATTGCTTAGAAGATAAATAGTTTACTTCTTTTTGATTTTGATCTCTTAAGATGTCGACAACGGTCACGTGTAGGGCGGCAAGCACGTGCTCTATGCACTCCGGGGTTGTGGTAACTTCGTGTTTGAGTTGACAGAGGAGGTTGATCGATTGAAGTGTCAGTTGCATTCTCTACAAGAAAGGGAAATAAAAGATATGCAAACGTCAGATAAACCAATATTTGACTGGACTGGGTATTTAGCAAAATAAAGATAATCAACATATGTACCTTAAGGTCATTGGAGTGTATTGATAAACGGAAACAGGAAGTACATCCCTAGTTGAATATCCAATGTTGGGAGACGGCATCACAATTTCCGCAAATTCTAATGTTTGATATTAAATTGATGAATATTGTATGTTTATTATTGACAGAACAGTGTGTTCTCTCAATATTAAAGTATTTCAAAGCAATCCAGGCATTAACTCAGGTGGGTTTTTTATCAATGAGTCACATGTGTCCATTTTTCTGTACTTCAGGAAACCGGCTACCTATTTCACTACTGTGAAGTTTTTCAAGAACGATTACTCTTACCTGCAATTACTATGTGTATATGGTTTTATTATAAAATGTCAATTTTTATATCGTGTATAGAGAATTAATTTTACACCATTTCAGCATTTATTAAATTGACATACATTAATGCAATACTAATATATGTTAGTATCATTTTTATTGACATCATTTTGTAAAAATATTGTCTTTCATTTTTTTTTCAAAATTCACTCCTTTTTACATAAATTTCCATTTAAAATCCTTAAAGTTCTGACAACCTTTATTTTTTTTTGTGGCAGAAAATTTTCTTTACTTTAAAGAAATATAACTACAAAATTTGAAGAAATTCTACTGAGAAATGGTGACACAATCCTATTACCTTAATCTATATTTGAATTGGAGAAGGGAAATCAACATCACTTAAGTCTAGTTACCAACGTCTCCTCTAGTCGGTCGATATCCTATGTAATAATAGCCCGGTACAAATCCCCTTTGTTCACCGTGTGACATCTGGTTGTCATGATGATCGTGTTTTGTTGATTTCTACCCCAGTGTGTTAAATAAAATGTTTTTAAAAGATGACATGTAAGATTATTGTTTGTGCCTAACAGGAAGCGAAAGGTTTTTGCAGCGCCAAGAGTATTTAATATCATAATCATGTAATATGTGTATGCCAATTTTGAATGATTCTTGCGCAAAAAACACTAGCTATACCATGTGTTCTCTATCTGTAGGTTTTATACGTAATATTCCTTGATATTTTCCGAACTTGAACCCACATCAAGTGGTTAACAGGTACTTTGTAATAATATTATCTTTTCAAATTATTACCACACTTATTTGTATCATATACAGTATTTCAAAGGTATCCATCTTTCCTTTTATTGTTACACCCTGAAATATGTAACATTATGCACTGTTTTTGTGAGTTTCCTGCATTTAACCATGATTAATTTAAGATGAAACCCTCCATACATTATGCTAAATCTGATTGATTATTACGATGTTAATGAAATTTGACATCTAGGCTGGCTTGAGCAGTATTAGGAATGTGTTAAACATTTGTCCTCTATACTCTACTGCTAGGGTAATATCTATACTCTACTGCTAGTGTAATATATATACTCTACTGCTAGGGTAATATCTATACTCTACTGCTAGGGTAATATCTATACTCTACTGCTAGAGTAATATCTATACTCAACTGCTAGGGTAATATCTATACTCTACTGCTAGGGTATATCCATACTCTACTGCTAGGGTAATATCTATACTCTACTGCTAGGGTAATATCTATACTCTACTGCTAGGGTTATATCTATACTCTACTGCTAGGGTAATATCTATACTCTACTGATAGGGTAATATCTATACTCTACTGCTAGGCTAATATTTATACTCTACTGATAGGGTAATATCTATACTCTCCTGCTAGGGTAATATCTATGCTCTACTGCTATGGTAATATCTATACTCTACGGATAGGGTAATATCTATACTCTTCTGCTAGGGTAATATCTATGCTCTACTGCTATGGTAATATCTATACTCTACTGCTGGGGTAATATCTATACTCTACTCCTAGGGTAATATCTATACTCTCCTGCTAGGGTAATATCTATGCTCTACTGCTAGGGTAATATTTATACTCTACTGCTAGGGTAATATCTATACTCTATACTCTATACTCTATACTCCGGGACTATTGGTCAAGTGTTCTTATTGACAAAATTAACTTGTCCTGTGAATAGTATCAGGTAAACTGCCCAGTTTAATCAAATATGATTGGTTTGTGGGGAAAACACTATCATATTAAACACCTTTGAGAACCGAAATATTGACCAATCATGTTTCTGATTTGAATCATTTAGTGTAACAATTAGTGACTTGATCATTAATTTGCATTCTTTATATTGCATCACTTAAGTACACACACCGGCCGGTCCTTATGATCAACGGTTTATATCAGGATTTCCTATGAAAACAATAGGATATCGAAGCGGTAAAAAACGTACTTCGTCCTCAAAATCGTCGAAACTAGGACAGATGTGGACGGACAGATTTAACACGAAAACCGTTGAAATATGACCAGGTGTTCTGGAAATTTGAACGTTTCTGTGTCTTCGACGATACTCGACAAACATCTTATTACTGTCACGTCCTCACAAGCGAGACCGAGGCTCGAATTCATAAAACGTTCTCACGCTCTAGAACTCATTTCAACGTCGATGATTTCAATGTTTAGACTTAACTATTTGACCCTGTTTTAAGTAAATCAAGTTATAAGAAATTTGATTGAGCAAAAAATCCATGCTTGAACTGTTTCATGAGTTATGGCCTGTGTCATTGCCAACGAAACCACAAAGCACATTAGTGAACATAATCTAAATAAGGGTTACTTCGTATCGACATTGAGTTCGGTTTGTCCTTGTGTAAAGACATCCTCGATATTACTTTCGCTCTCTACACCCCTGGAATATGTCATAGCAAAAATGAAGGCACGCGGCTAGCTATTTGATTGGTGTCAGGTAAAAAATACCTGACCAACCACTAGGCTGATACTTTTCTTTTGAAGATTACAAAGGAGCCACACACGCCTTCAAAGCCTGTCATTTTTACCGTTACGCGACCGCGAGATTCTTTTGATGTACACCAAAGGAACAAACTAGTCTTCTCGTCTCATCCACAAGGTGCTGCACACTGAGACTTCGATTTTGCTATGACATATTCCATGGGTACAGCGAGCGAACGTGAGCGTAACCCCCGGGGTAGTGATAATACGTAAATCAAATATGATGTTTGCACGTAAAAATACTTACTTTGTATGTCTCGCATTCTGTATAGTTGCTTAAGAAACTATGAAGGCAGGTTAGTGAATCAATCTCGCAAACAGCGTTGAATAAATCAGAATTGCGGACCATCTCCGCCCTCTCCATCATCAGAGCGTCCCAGAAATCCAGTTTATCATAGAGACACCAGTGACCACTCGTACAACTAAACAAAAGTGCACGGATGACGTCATCTGAAAACATGATGTAGTACACATCCCAGAAATTTTCACCAACCAATGCTTCCGGTACAGAACACACAGTATCCAGAGCTTGATCGGATCGACAGCGCGGGTCTTCAGTAGTTGTCGTCAATGGTGTTGTTGAAAAAGGTGTCGACGAGGACGACGATGTTGTAGTGGAATTTCTCCTACGTTTAGTTGTAGTTGATGACGACAGAGTGAATGGTGACGTAGTTTGCGGCGTCGTTTGAGATGTTGTACTGTTACTAGGGGTTTGCGCAGGCGTGGTGATGTTCGTTACGTTGCTTGTTGTTGAGATGTCATTATCAATACTGTCCAGTAAATTCTGAAACAACCCTTGTAAACTCCAATCACGCCTCTCTCGTCTGTACTTCGCTAATGATTTTGACGACTTTGATGACGAAATGGTCACACAAATAATAAGAGATAAACCTAAAACGTGTAGAAATAATGTCGACATGTTGGTTCATATGATTTCCGGTACCTTTTTATAATCGCTATAAACCTGAAAACAAACCTTTACCTGTTTACAGTTAGGTTGAAATTATGTATATCTGTATAACCAACTTTGCCTCTGTAAGACATGACAGTCAGATCCAACCATTACTCGTGTGTGTGGCAGGCTTCACGTCCCAGGTAGAGAACGCTGGCTGGATCAGTTTCTTTATGTTAGCATGTTAAACACACCAGGCACATCGTGTACGACAGCCCAGTACGACCATAGGCCTAACGTGGAGAAATGACAAGGAACGGAAGGCAACTCAGCATCTTTAGGGATTGATACCAACAATCACAGAGCTGTGATCTATAACTGGTTTGAATGAAAAAGGTAAATTAACTGCATATCCGAGGACTACACGAACTTATTGTTTTGCTTTTATTGTGTGTGGTTCGAAATAATGATTAAATGTTTGTACAGTTAAAAAATCCAATTGTCTGTTTTGTAATCTAGGGTAGTGGGTGCCGATTCGAATATAAGAAATGGTATGTTAAAGTATGTTTCTAGCATATCAATTACATTTAAGATTCATTTAGGAAATTCTGGGGGAAGAAAAGATAAAATACGAAAACAAGTAAATATTGAATAAATAAAACCCTAAAATACTGCTATCAAAAGCCAATAGATAGCGCCCCAGAGATTCTTAATAAAAAAAAGTTCTTTTATGTTGTAAAACTTTGAACACGCATATTTAACAATCCAGCCACGTGCTATCCCCCAGACCTCCATAACATCGGTAAGCTGGATTTGTAATCCAGTGTAAGGTATTGACGATATGATTGATTAGTTCTCTGGATTCTAAAGGAAAATAACTTGAACAGATATTTGCGATGTGTTTGATTCGGTAACAGCCGTTACTAATGTCGATAGACTTTCCGTGTATATAGAAAAACTGGACAACATAGCTACAGAGGGTTATTAAATATAAAACAAAGATACCGGGTTTATTATATGTACTAAACATTTGAACAGGAGTTTATTATTTATTGGTTTATCAAATATATGAAACGCAGGGATACTGGATTTATCATATAAACAAAGATACTGTGTTTATTATATCTACTAAACATGTGTACGGGGGTTTATTATTTATATGAAACGCAGGAATACTGAGATAGATTATCATGATAATAAGTCACTCGTTCTTGAATCTCAATTTAACTTGTATTGTATAAAGCATAACATTGTAATTAAAATCAATTTTATTTAAGACATGACATTGACAATTATTTTAGTATGACATCACAAGCCAAACCTAGTCCGGTCATACTTTCGACATGGACAGGAAGAGTATATATCATAATGCTGAGATAACGACTACAGGATACCTACAAGTCTTCAATGCCATTATTGATGTGGTTTAGATTGCCCATGAAATCGGAACAATGGCGAAGACGACATCTGTGCGGAATAGATCGGCAACAGCAGGTAGTGCGTCTTCCCTTTATATCACCGTCATACAGTCAGATAGCTATACATGGTTCCTTTTCTTTCTCTTTTTCAGACCTGGAGTAAAGCGATACAAGTATCGATTTGTAAAAATAGAAAAAGGATTTTGTTCAATTGCAAGTAAGCAGACTGAAATTGTAAGTCAAGGCTGTACTCTTCTGAGGTTTCAATCACGTTGCTCAAGTCTCGTTTTGATCTTGTGTAACAGGTTTTTGTAAATATTTAAACAAATATTATCTATTTTAATAGCAAATACATGTACGCAGCTTAAAAATGTGTCAAAAAACTATATGCCTGTTGTTTGCAGAGCTTTTTTTATAAGAATTGAAAAAATATGACCAATTTGGCGGCCATTTTGAAAATATGTATTGTTTGTGCTTCACGAAAGACCAACATTTCATGTTTATTATACTGGAATGGTCACTTAAATTGTCATTGAGTCGCCATTTTTAATTGTAGCAAGTTTGTGTTTGCTGTAAAACTTACTTATACAAGACTGGTATTCTACTTGCTAAGTGTTAATGAAGCACTTCGAATTCTAACCACGAAAAAGAACAAAACTAGAATTGGACGCACGTGCAACACGCTACTTGACCCTGTTCTTCTATCAGACACGTGTAATATCTGTTGAACTGACTGTGGGGATAAATATTGTAAGAAATTATAAGAGGAAAATTATTTGTTATAAAGACGCAGATTACGAACGGTTTAACAATTTACTTTTATCAATTGACTGGGCTGAACTTTTTTTAAGAATCCATTCTCCGGACGATATGTGTGACATTTTTACATCTAGATATTTAGAATTAGCTGACGAATGTATTCCTTCCAAATTTGTTACAATTAGACCTCATGACAAACCTTGGTTTTACTCTGACCTGAGACGTGAAATAAGGAAAAGAAACAGACTTCTCCAAAAATATAAATCCAATCGCACTCCAAATAATTTGAACAACTTTAGGAAACAACGAAATGGTGTAAACAATCTGAAAAACAGGACAAAATAATTATTTCATGCGGACATAAACGGCCTTTTAGACAATTACAATGATGCAAATCCTAGAAACTTTACGAAACTAGTCCGCAGGTTAATAAAATCATCCGACACATCTAATAGTATACCGCCGTTAAGGAGTGCGACTGGGAATATAGAAGTGGATGACGACATAAAGACTAATATACTAAACGATTACTTTGTTTCAATATCTAGTCTAGACGACACTAACATTGACGTACTAGAACAGACTCGACCATTTCAGACATACAGTTAAATATTAATGACATTATCGACATTCTAAAGACATTAAAAATCGGTGAAGCTGTAGGAAAGGATACTATTAGTCATACCATGCTAAAGAATACCTATAATTCAGTTGCTTATCCTCTTTCATTGATCTTTCGCTCATATTTGGAAACTGGATCTTTTCCCAAACAATGGAAACATGCTCTAGTTATGCGGGTTTTTTTTTAAAAAGGGCGATAAACAAGACCCTTCAAATTATAGACCTATTGCACTACTAAGTACTATTGGTAAAGTTTTCGAAAGATTAGTCGCTAAATATTTACATGACTACCTTTTAGATAATTCTCTCATATATAAATATCAGTCAGGTTTTCAACCAGGTCATTCTACTGTACACCAGCTTATAGAAATATATCATACTATGTGCGACAATCTTGAAAAAAAAAACTTGTCTATTTTTTTTGTGTGATATTTCTAAGGCGTTTGATCGAGTGTGGCATAGGGGACTGGAAGTGAAACTAGCTAGCTATGGAATATCGGGAAAGTTATTGGACTGGTTAATTGATTATGTTACTAATAGATCTCAACAAGTTTTTATTGGAAATAGTAGATCTTCTGTTAAGAGAACAGATGCAGGATACCTCAGGGTTCGGTTCTTGGCCCATTGCTGTTTATACTATATATTAATGACATAACAGATAATATAGAAAGTCTACCAAAACTTTTTGCTGATGACACCTCTCTTTTGTATTCGGATAAATCACCACAAGTAATTGAACAAAAAATTAATAATAATTTCGTAAATATACAATTGTGGGCAGATAAGTGGCTTGTCAAATTCAATCCTGCAAAAACAGAGGCTTTACTTATTTCTAATATTGATCTTGATCACCTCATTGAAATTAACTTTAATAATGTAAGTATTGAATTTGTTGAAAACCATAAGCATCTGGGAGTATTCATCAATGCTAACTGTAAATGGACCTATCACATTGATAATATATGTAAAAAAAGTAGTTGAACAATTAAGTGTCCTCCGTAAATTGAAATATACCCTGAACCGACGTACACTGAATAAAATATATAGAACATTTATACTTTCTATTTTAGAATATTGTTGTGAACTTTGGCATGGTTGTTCTATTACTGATTCAGACAAATTAGAAAAATTACAACTTGAAGCTGGACGTATTGTCACTGGTTTACAGTCGTTTACTAGTAGACGATCTATATACAATGAAACTGGATGGGATTTTCTAGCCCATCGGAGATCCCGTCGAAAACTTCAATTATTTTTTTAAATCCACAATAATATAGCTCCTAACTATCTCAACACTCTACTCCCTTCCCTTGTCGATAACTCTCACTATAATCTTCGAAACGTTGAAAACTACAACCTACCTAACAACAGACTTGAAGTATCAAACGTATTCTTTTTTCCTTCTACTGTTAGACTGTGGAACCAGTTACCTACTAGTAAACGACGTAGTGCCACGTTCTCATCATTTAGAAACGCCATTCAAGACGTAAACTTGCCGCTTGTACCAAAATCCCTTTTTCTATGGAGATAGGAAAAATAATATTTTGCATACAAAATTAAGAAACCGTTCTAGTACTTTGAAAAGTGACCTGTTTCGTGTTAACCTTATTGATTACCAACGTTGTATATGTGACTTCCCTATTGAAGACCCACACCAGTTCTTTTTTACCTGTGATAAATATAACGAACAAAGAATTAAGCTTTATCGTGAACTGAATGAATACATGCCTCTTAATTTAAATCTACTTTTATTTGGAGATTAGGTGTCGGATACAAACGTTAAACTTTGTTGACAAACATAATGGACAATGATATAAGATCGCATATCTGTTCAATTACGACCTAATGGGCATTGCGAACATCATAATCTAAATATCTTGCGTTTACCTCGGTGATTATTTGGAATGCTACATATGAATAACACATTGAAGCTCACAAATGCATTTCAATGTCTTTAAAATAACAAAAAATCAGTAACATGAATAACATCATATGAATGTGTCAAATCTTTTCGGAACAGGAAAACATAACGATATTCATGCATACTCAGCAATACATTCATGACTCTAACAGAGTCTAGTACCCCATCCCACCCTGTCCTCTCTCTCTCCCTCTCTCTCAATTAAACCATAATATCAATTCTCTCTAAGAGGCAGATACTATATGTCATACATTAATAATGATGAGGATGTATGTATTATAATTACAGACTATTATCCCCCTCTCCCCCATCTCCCTTCCCCCTCCCCCTTTTCTCTCTCTGTCTCTCTATTATAATTTTGATTTATAAATTAATGCATTTAAAAATGAAATAGTGTATATATGTATATTAATTCTGCCATCTTGTTGTACTATTGTAAATATATGCTTGTAATTTGCTAGGAAAGGGCTTAATATAATATAAGTTTGATAACTTGTGCCCAATCCATTTGCTTGGCAATAAAATATGATTAAACTAAACACGAAAAAGGTGAAAAATAACACATATAGTAATAAAAACACACGGAGTCCCCATTGTTATAGCTATCTCAGAAAGAAAAACACCATTTGTTTTGATATATTATATAATGAAAAAAGTTTCATAGCAGAACTTTTTATATCAAGAGTTAAATTTGCAAAAAAACCGCGAAAAAGTATTTTTTTTCATTAAAAAATACGGGTAGGGGTAACTTAAATCGATTTCTCTGAGATGAAAAAAGCCCCTAAGATAAAGAAAATACTATTTTTGTCAATTCTGGAACCATTCATACATATCTGATGACACACTTGGAAGATATTGTATGAATTTGTTCTGCAGATGGTCAAAACTGAAAGAACACCTAAAATAACATATGTAAAAAAAAGGAGGTGCTCATCCTCAAGTGATATAAACTAAACAGATACTTTAATAGATGTATAAAACAACATTCATGTGTGCGACCTTCCTTCAATAACCAGTGTACCAGTATAAACAACATGTCAGCTCAGGTGTAAAGGTTTCACTAGTTCCAGATAAAAAGAAAGCTATCGATATGAAACTAATATTTGTGCTGTTGTGTCAACTTACCAAATAATAAAAGTAACATACAGTATAAAGACTATCTGTCTGTATACAACATTCACCTTTGTTAGAACATCAACGTTAGGAAATTACATTCAATACATTTGCTTCAAATTCCTGTACAAGATCACGATTTAAATATCAGTTATCCCTTTGACAAGGCTGGATTTGTCTTCCTCTGTTCATCTTAACCGTCTCCCATGGAATATATTGATATCAGTACAAAATATTTAAGATCAGATATTCTTATTTCACGATAAAAAAAACACACTATGTCCTAATGGCTTGATCCAAAACATATTCAGAGTTAAGCCCTCTATTACTCTACCTCTGACTAAATTATGTAATAAAACTCTCGAATCCAGACATATTTTCTCTCAATTCGGAATATTGCTGAAATCAATACCATAGATATAGAAAAAAAAGGAAATCAAAATTATCTGTTTAGTTACAGCCCTATTTTTGTTGCCTATCATTTTAGTACAATGTTATGTTTAAGTATTTGTTTATCTATCTGACCATATTTATCAGGGTACCAGTGTGGCTTCTTACCTAGAAATACAATAGACAATCAGTTATAACTCTCAATCAAACAACAAATATATCAGATGAATCGGACCAAATTAAATAATTAGAATTCAGTTACGTTTTTTGTTTTTTTGACAGACTATGGAATGAAAGTTCCTACAGTAGTCTCCAGAAATACCAAGTAGGGAAACCCCTACAGTAGGCTCCAGAAATACCAAGTAGAGAACCCCTACAGTAGGCTCCAGAAATACCAAGTAGTGAAACCCCTTCAGTAGGCTCCAGAAATACAAAATTAGGAAACCCCTACAGTAGTTTCCAGAAATACCAAGTAGAGAACCCCTACAGTAGTCTCCAGAAATACCAAGTAGGGAAACCCCTACAGTAGTCTCCAGAAATACCCAGTAGGGAGACCCCTACAGTTGTATCCAGAAATACCAAGTAGGGAAACCCCTACAGAAGTCTCCATAAATACCAAGTAGGGAAACCCCTACAGTAATATCCAGAAATACCAAGTAGAGAACCCCTACAGTAGGCTCCAGAAATACCAAGTAGGGAAACCCCTACATTAGGCTCCAGAAATTCCAAGTAGGGAGACCCCTACAGTTGTATTTATAAATATCAGTAGGGAAACCCCTACAGTAGTCTCCAGAAATACCAAGTAGGGAAATTCCTACAGTTGTATTTGTAAATACCGAATTGGGAAACCCCTACAGTAGTCTCCAAAAATACCAAGTAGGGAAATCCCTACAGTTGTATTTATAAATACCAAGTAGGGAAACCCCTACAGTAGTCTCCAGAAACACCAAGTAGGGAAACCCCTACAGTAGTCTCCAGAAATACCAAGTAAGGAAACCCCTCGGTAGTCTCCAGAAATACCAAGTAGGGAAACCCCTACAGTAGTCTCCAGAAATACCAAGAAGGGAACCCCTACAGTAGACTCCAGAAATACCAAGTAGGGAAACCCCTTCAGTAGGCTCCAGAAATACCAAGTAGGGAAACCCCAACAGTAGTCTCCAGAAATACCAAGTAGGGAAACCCCTACAGTAGTCTCAAGAAACACCAAGTAGGGAAACCCCTACAGTAGTCTCCAGAAATACCAAGAAGGGAACCCCTACAGTAGACTCCAGAAATACCAAGTAGGGAAACCCCAACAGTAGTCTCCAGAAATTCCAAGTAGGGAAACCCCTACAGTAGTCTCCAGAAACACCAAGTAGGGAAACCCCTACAGAAGTCTCCAGAAATACCTTATTCTTCTATTTAGAAATCATCAGTTTTAGTACGGTAACACGAAACATCTATTTCTTTCACACTCTCCAGTTTAAAGTGTCTACAGTTTGTTGCAAGTCAAACCTCTGTTCAAGTATCTTCTGTGACTGGATTTTGTGCAATAATGCAATTAACAAGGTTGTTATAGTAAGTTGGACTGTTAGTGGAACTGCTATTAGACACCACTCTTTATAGTCTTCGGTGGTTCGTGATCAAAATCAGAATTAGATACGTCTGAATTGTCTTTGTGATGTTTGCCGACCGACAAGTATCCTTTTCCACAGACTTACCTTCTTCGAGAAACTCTACCCTACTCACCCCACTTGTCTGTATATTCTTTCTATAAGTATTCGCTACCAGTCAAGAACACCTCAGTCGGGTTCTAACATTCAGTCATAACATTTCCATTTTAGCTTCTGTGTGTTGACTTTTACACACGAACTGTCTATACAACACCTGAATACTAGTTTTAGTAATAGTAGATAAAAACGCATACAAATCACCATTATACATTAAGTAAGAAGACAATTTTTATGTAGTTATGCTCAGTGTTCTTGCATTTTAAAAAGGTGTCTGTAATAAGAGATAACAAGGGTACTTCCTCATCTAAGCTTCTGTACAGGGTTCATCAAAACCTTCACACATGTTTTGTAGAATTCTGTGATCAGTATGCGAGTGTCAAACTGTCATCCGACTCAAATGAACTGTCCAAGTGATTGTGTCACCATTCATTGGTGCTTTTGGTTACAAGGCTTTGGCCATTTTTCTGCAAACGTTTGACTTGATTTTCAATGCATAATTTCAAGATGAGATTGTTTAACAACGATTCTGTCTGTAAAAAAATGACAAGCACTACTATTGCATATGTTTTGACATGTACGATTTACTGGTTTTAAATGCGATGTTTGGTGTTATGCACATATCGCATTCAATTTCTGTAAAAACGAAATATCTCCATTTACATTTTTAATCACAATAGGCTTAATACAAAATGAAAACAAATTACGGAAACAACTTTGCTTCAATAAACGTATTGAAAATTTGTATGAAAATGAACATCAATTGCTGTTATAGGGGTGAATGTGTTTTGCAAAAAGATTTGACATATTCATATGATGTTAATAATGTTACTGATTTTTTGTTTTCTTAGAGACATTGAAATGCATTTGTGAGCTTCAATGTGTTATTCATATGTACATTCCAAATACTCACCGAGGTAAATGCAAGATATTACATTTATTTAGATTATGATGTTCGCAATGCCCATAAGGTTATAATTGAACAGATATGCGATCTTATATCATTGTCCATTATGTCTGTCAACAAAGTTTAACGTTTGAATCCGACACTTAATCTCTTGTATAACGCCTACATACGCCGGACATGGTTGTTTATATAGAAATAGTTGTACCTACAGTCTACTCTTTTTTTCAAATAAAAGCACTGTCTATGGACCTAAAAGGATATATTAAAACAATGAGCATCATTCTGTTATAAATATTTGGAATAACGGGCGACAATGTATGACGGTTGTATTTCCCAATCCGTTCGCATCATACCCAGGTAGGAAATGATACCAGACAGCATGCACATGTATCAATGCCGTGTGATGTATGTCAAAACGTTTCTAAAATCTCGATTTTAAATTGGATTTAAAAACATAAATTTTGAATTCAGAAACAGCAACATTTTGAACTTTGTATTGAAAACAGACAATTTGCATAAAAAAAAATAGAAATTTTATTAAAAAACATAACATTTCTATTTTTAGTATTCTTAGTAAAAAGAAACACTCTAAGCCTCATGAAAAATGAAAAGAATATGAAACTATCTAACACATTGCCACCAACTTCTAATAGAACATAGCATGTTGTAACATATTACCAATAGTAATTCCGTCACCACGCATAAAGGTAAGGAGTTTACACATCGACATCTAGCATGAACAGATCGTTATTAAGCTAAATATGTTTAGGGGACAAACATAAATGCTTTAATGTACATACCTCTTGATAATTCTTACTGGCCTGATATATTCCTCTTTTGGGCCAGTGACAAACTATATATAGCTAACAATACTATATAATTAACGAATCTATTTCATTACTGGCATTCATTATGCGAATTCAGGTCTTTGTGATACGAGATCGGAAAGGCTTGTTATTACCAAAAAAAAGGCGTCAAATGAAAAAAGGTTGCGTTCGGATTTTACGAGTCGTTAAGGTACTCTATATTATACGAAAACCTTAGTCGAAATACATTACTTTTTTACACTATTGGGTCTATCATTATGTTAGTTTAATCCAACAGTCCATTAAGCAATGTTTAGGACAGTTTCAATACAATTGTAATACCACAACAACGGGTCAGATACCATAGTTACAGGGACCACTGCTGAATCTGTCGCCGGTACATCACCAGTCCAGGCATTTAATGACTATGGCACCCTTTGTGTTTCTGTCGATGTCCATCGATACACTCACCCTGCGGGTCGACATTCCTGTTATAGTTCTGACATTTTCGCGCGTGATAGCCGAGTTCTTGCTACACGATACGTATATGGAGTCGATATATCGACATTTAAGTATCACGTCTTTCACAGCTTCGGTTGTAATCAAATCGTTCTTCATTATGAACAGTATCCTAATATTCGAGCTGAATTCGGCGATGGCCGACAGACAGTTGTCTGTGAGCGTTGTCGCTTTCACTGCTGATCCGCCAGATATGTCAAGGATTTGTATGTGACGACATCGCTGAAGGAGGAATCGGACGGAAGAGTCGGAGAGAGAGTGACATCCCCTGACGGAGAAATCCACCAGATCGGGACAATGGCGACCGATCTGTCTTACACTTGCGTCGGTCAGGGATGACGAGAATCCGAAATACAAGACACGTAAATGGGAATGCTGAGGAGAAATGAAACGAACATCTCGTACATTTCTTTGTGTATGTCTGTATCCTTTTTGTAGATCAAGCTTTTCTTCGTTTCTCTCACTCGATTTCCTAACGTCGTTGATACAGAAATCTGATGCAATTTGCGTTTGTGATGTGTTTCGGTTTGAATCATTTCTTGACTTTGATTGTAACAATGCCGCCTGTTCTCTGTTCCTTGTCACTATGTTGTTCTTTGTTTTTGTTCGAATGCATAAGTCACTAGAATCAGAACTCAGGGCATTTCTGGGATCGTGAAAATCAAATTCATTTGCATTCGTTTCTGATTTTCTCACAAAGGAAGCTGGTCCTGAGGTACGTTCTTCTGAACAAGTTGGATTGCGTTCACCAAGGTTCAAATAGGGTGTTTCCCTGATGATATCACGCGTCCCATCGTTGTCAATTGCAACACTGTCCAGTGTATCGTTACTGGTATGAACTTGATCCTCTCCAGAACTGTCAATTTTGATTATGTCATCAAATTTCAGTTTCGACATAAATCGACACGTTTCTAGGTGGAGTGAGTGAAGGCGTGTACAGGTGATCACAAGCCTGTTGACAGCATCGGATGTGATCTGTAAACACGAATTCAAGTTCACTATTCTCAAAGCTGAGCAATGCAGAGCAAGAGCCATGACACCGGCATCTGTAACGGACAAACATTCCGCGACACTGATTTCCTCCAATTCTCGACAGTGTTCGGCGATTTCGATGAGACCAGTGCTACTAACTCCTGGGCACTTAATGACGAGGAGACGCTTAAGTCGCGTGCATCCCTGTGCAAGTGACGCCAGACCGTGGTCAGTTATGTTCCGTCCGGCTGTGCTCTGCATTTCCAGACTATTGACAATCAAGTCCCTGAGTTGACCACAATGTTGGGCGATATGTGCGAAACCGACATCCGTGACTAGTGAACAGCCTTGTACGGACAGGAACTGCAGCATTGGACAGTTTCCCGCCATTTGTTCAAGAACGTTGTCGTCTGCGTTTGTGTTGTCAAGCGAGAGCGTAACAAGTGAGGCAAGACTGTGTATTCCTGAAAAAGCGCTCTGTGTGATACGAGAACAGTCATTTAACGATATACACTTTACTGGAGTATCCTTGAAAGACAACAAACACTGAACAACATCGTCTGGTATATCATCACAGTGTATAGCGAGGGTCTCCAGACGATTATTCTGTAAAACAAAATCGACCAAGCCGTCAAAGTGTCTCTCTAGATCTTCACCTTCATGTTCGTCTGTGCAGAGAAGACCAAGTTTATTTAACTTAAGATCAGACGTATTTGAAAGCGTATTTACAACACTGAGGATGTCCGTTAATGGACCGCTTAGTGATACATCGTTGATGGACGGGTGTCGACACAGACATGAGCTAACCAGGTCACGGTCGTCTGATTCTAGGTCAAAGTCAATGCTGAGTAAACAAGGAAATGTCACTTGCTTGTCCTCTAAAACACTGAGGTTGCTGTGTTGACCCTGCCGTGTACTGATGCGTTCTACATGTCCGGATACCCTATATAGCATGTCCAGATAAACAGGAGAGTCCAATTTGTACTTGTTTACTTCGAGGTGACGCCATAGGCTAGGGTCAAAGGTCAAATCGTAAAGCCTCTTGCATGTTACGCGTAAATTATTTTCCATATCGCGCTTTCGTACGTAACGTAATATGTAAAGTAGCATTTCTTCCGGTATCTCCAAGAAATTCATTGTGAAGTCAAAAGAATTATTTTGAAATAATCTAGAATTATGTTATTTGCGTGATCCGGGACAAGAGTTGGACCTATAACATTGTTGATGATGTGTCGCTGATGTTGTAGTTCTGAGAGGTCCGTTCGGGAATAGCATATACTTACAGATTATCTGGCAAATACAAAACGGAAGGATTTGGTTAATAAACAAAATATGGTAACTATAAAACCCGGCAAAAAATATCAGCATAGCTACGGACGATATGGAACAAACAAAACATGGTAACCTAGCAAAAAATATCAGCATAGTTACGGGTGATCTGGAAAACACAAACAAAGAACATTTACTTAATAAACAATACATGGTAACCTAGACATAAATATAGATGGTGCTTCTTTCGAGCCGATGATTTTACTTTAACGGAATAGGGAGAGTGGTTGTATTATCATTCGAGTGTAAGGTTATTACTTTTCGGCGTACCAACAAACGACGGCGAGAGTCCACAAACACCACTGAAAATAGTGAATGTATTTATTTGTATAGAGAACATTAAGGAAAACAATATATATATTGTATACAGAAAAGACAAGGGTAGGATACCCAATAAAGTGTGGTATACATTTTTACAACACTGTAACTAAGTCACAAAACTGTAACTAAGTCACAACACTGTAACTAAGTCACACCACTGTAACTAAGTCACAAACATGTTGTTGTCGTTTTCTTTGGTTTTTGTTCTATGCATTGTTTTGTCTCAACTACCATTACGATCGTTATTCACGGTGTTTGTCTTCCTGTTTGTTTGTCGCCTGTTGTTCACGAAAGTCAACTCTTGTAATACCGCCAATGAGAACTTCCTTTCCTGGGTATGAATTGCCCGTTACACCTGTAAACCGTTAGGATCACGTTTGCAAAGCTTAGTTAGATTCTCCCAACGTTGATGTAGTTTACATACGGGGAATGTTTCTTAACCAACTAAAATAATTTAAGTATTGTTCTGTTTCTTGTCAGCGGGAGGTCCGTGGAGTGACACAGGTGTTAGTATAGTATACAGTGTTATATAGTAAAGTAAGCATACTTTGACACACGAAGACAAGCTTAAGAGAGTATACCTCGTGGAACTGGTACACACTGCACAAATCTTAATTCGTCCTCGACAGGAAACACCATGCATCGGTTATGTCATATTTGTCACTTCACAGGTGTCTCTATACATGTATATATGCGGGTACACCTCCCGTTACACAGGTAAGAGCTTGTCCAGGTGAAAGCGTGTTGCTAATGAAGCGGGAAGTCCCACAATGGTATCTAAATAAAGAAATGAAAACGGACGACAAAGACGTGTAACTATAGGAGAAATTGTCGTGAATTCATAGGGTGGGAAGTTAACAGTGCAATTTCCGCCCTGTGACTGGTAGGTATTATATGTGCCCGTGTATTTAGGCCACAGTTAAATATAACATATATTATTTCGAAGGTACAACATATTTTGTACGTACAACACAGTTAAACTTACCTTGTATGTGTACAACACATATATATCATCTTGTACGTATAAGATAAATTAGTTTGAATATGTTCCTTATATGCAGCCACACCTGAGCATACATCTTTTTCTTAAACAAATATAAGAGAACACCGAAATGTTAAGACTATGACAAAATATGAACAACGGAAAGATTCAAATGATACAGGTAAAACGTATTTTGCTTGTTTACCCTAAAAAAGAAACTCAGCGAACAAGAGGGAATTAAAGTTGGAATAAAGTTAAGTTATTATCTAAAAGTCACACGAACCTAGGTTTCACATTTTATTGTTGAAATACCAGTTCTTACCTTATTGAGGCCGGTAAGCCTCGGCTTGTCAAAGGCATTATATAATTTCGCAGTGTTCCGTTTGGTTGCATAAGCGACAATTATTATCTACACATATACATGATTTTTAGCCCATTAACATCGGATGACTGCATAAATCGCGCTTTGTCCGTGGTGCGTCCGTCCTATTTCCCCCAAAAAAACACTGAGAGTATCTTTCTCAAATTTCCCTATATAGTTACGCATATGGAACTTTTGGACTGAGTTGAACCCAAACAGGCGGTTATCCTGAATATTGATAATCAATTTGAGTTTGTTTCAATATTTCTCAACAGGTTATGGACAGAACTTTATCCAATTTCGTATGCTGATTTTCAAAGTCCTAATTTTGGCATGGATCACAGGCTGATCAGAAATATAAGGCAGTCATCTTTTATTTGGACAGTTCCATTTCCTCCAGGAAGTGCTGGACAAATATTTCTCAAAATTCCAATTTAGATTCCCCTTGTTACACATGAAGTGCTGTGCTAGTAAATGGTTTGGTTTGGTTTAGCATTGTTTAACGTCCAATCAACAGCTATGGTCATTTAAGGACGGCCTCCCCTGTATGTAGTGTATGCGTGTGTTTTGGGTGGCTGCGATATGTTCGTGTTTGTCTCCTTGTGATAGCCCGGAAATGATGCCGACGTTATAGTGCTACCTCACTGAAACATACTTCCGAAGACACCCAGCAGGACACCCCACCTGGTCACATTAAACTGACAACGGGCGAACCAGTCGTCCCACTCCTAAATTGCTGGGCGTTAAGCAGGAGCAGAAACTACTATTTTTACGGACTCTGGTATGTCTCGGCCAGGGGACAGAACCCAAAGCCTTCCTCACAGGGGCGAACGCTCAACTAAAGGCCAAAAGTGAGGTATTGTCAAGGGAGACATCTTAAATGGGTGTAACAACAACCTCACTTCGAAAGAACAATGTCATACATAGCAATATGAAGTTTTAAAAAAAAGTTACCACAAGTTGCATCAATTGTACTAATGTTTATGTCTCGCTCCAACATATAAAAGATCAATCTTGAATAGAATCTATGAAGCTGGTACGACGTAGGGCACCAAGATCTCCCTGGTATCTCTTGTTATAATGGTCAAGTTCATTATACTCAAGAATAATTACAATTTTTAAATGAAACATGTAGATTTTTCTTTAAAGAAATAAACAACTCCGTTTGTACAACTTTGGATTGCCATCACCCGACAACTTTCTCAAGCCCTTAGGTTGCTACAGTCTCATAGTTCTCCAAGTCACTTGAATCTGTATGGTCAATCACCCAGTGTGTGGGGTTGGGGGCTGGGAGGAGGTATTAGCCCTCCATTTGTGTTAACTTGCATAAGAAATTGTCATCATCAGATGGACAGACGGATCCTACAATACGACATCAGCTCACCTTGGTACTTCTTTTCAAATAGAAAGAGACAGGGGCTGATAATTACTGTGCTGTTCTTTAGAATTGCACCCTTTTCACTTCTACATCAAATACAAAATCAAAGACAGCACTACTTGGATAGAATATTTTATTTCATACAATGACAGAGATCTGTACAAAAATATCTGTTAAAGACAATAATTAAAACTTCATATAAATGATGGCATGACACAGTGATACGGCTGTTTTCAGAAAGTGTAACAAATATGGTGATACAGGAGGTCCTTACATCTCTGTAGTTACCTCAAATGGCCATGAAATAGCACGACCCACATATACATGTATTAACAACAATTTAAGTTACCCCTAAGTCCATCAATTTGGCACACACTTACACACACAGATTAAATAACACAGACATAATTATACATTTATATATATATATATATGTTATACCCGAGTATCTGGATTTTAATGTCATTATGTCTATCCATTGAACAACTGCAAGCTGTTCTTGATATAAATATTATTTCAGCTGATCAACACAGCCTAAGTAAGATGGAATGTTTTCATCTTAACTACTGTGGTGATATGCAGACACAAACCCTGAACTTTTAAAGTTGTCGGGGGAAATTAAGATGATACCAGAACTTAACTTTTACCGTTATTGAGTTTGGTGACATTCAGACACCAGGTCCCAGGATCATGAAAAAATCTGAGACTTAGTTTTTACCTAGCCAATCACCTATGGCGTCATTTTTATGACGTTATTTGTGATTGGTTTAACGACAATTTTAGACTTAAAATCGTCTCATGCTCTCGGGGCCATAACTTCACTTTGTGGTAAATGAAGATGTATACAACTGGATCTGTACTTAACTTACAGTAAATATTACAACAATCTCAAGGATAAAATATTAAATCATCAAGATAGTTCACTTCACCATTAACACTTCCAGTGGTATTTTTCAAAACAGCATTTCTATCTACAGTCCACAATGACCAATCAATGTAAGTGTTAGACTGGTGCAGTGTTTACTATAGTGCTGTTCACAATATATATCATTTGGATGCTCTCTCTTATAAATATCTGTAGTGAAAAGAACTCTCTCATTAAAGATTTCTTATTCAGATTTTGTAAGCAGTTTATGTATTTAACAAAGAACATAATTTTGAAAAATCGTTCAAAAATTGATCAGAGATTTTTTTGGCTAGCAATTGGCCAAATATCAAGGTAATTTATATGTACAGCTTGGTAGCCTTCCATCTCGGCTAGGTATGAGCCAAATATCATTATCCTAAGTCATAAGGGTCTTGGCAAGAACAATTTAAATGTATATACAACTTTAATGAAGATGAAGGAACATTTATTTGAATACCCTTGATAGATCTTAATCTTTTAGCCTTACAGTTAAGAGTGGGAAATTATAATCTAATGGGCAAAGAATAATTCAGGCATGCACAATAGTGCACTCTCAGCCACAAATAGTACATTAGTAGACTCAAAATAAATATTTTTCCTATCTAGCTTACCTGACAAGTACAGGTATAACATGTATTTCTTTCTTACCTTGCTAGCTATACTATATATGTATTTTCTCCTAACTGGTTAATGCAGGTAAAGATTGCATTTCTCTTTCACCTGGCCCGTACATGTATAGAATATATTTCTCTTTCACCTGGCCCGTACATGTATAGAATATATTTCTCTCTCACCTGGCTCGTACAGGTATAAAATGCATTTCTCTTTTTATTGCTAGCACAGGTATTTTTTTTCTCTCTTAGCTGGCCCATGGCTTATTCAGGTAAAGAATGTATTTCTCTCTTACCTTGCTAGTACAAGTCATTGAAATCAATCACTGCACAGCACACATTGTTTTTCTAGATGTAAAGTATAAGAAATGTTCTTGTACATTGTCAATAGACTATTTCTCCCCGTCTCATCAACTCACTTTTAGGTGATTGCTAGTTGAACCTAATTTCCTAACTCAGTACTAATTTTGTTACTCTCACCCAGTCATTCCACTTATACCTTGGGTAATACATTTCTTTGAAACAATTTCCATAAAAATGACAACTAAAACTCTCCCCCATCTTCCTCACATGATCTGCTTCATGGACATACAGAAATTGTGTAGCAGCACCAACACCAGCAGAGGTAGGTCACACTTAACTAACATATTTTCCAGCTCAGGTTCCATTCTAAGGACCCTCTTCGCTGTCATTACCAATTATCTATGACATTTTCATTTTGCCATTTCTTGTGTCAATTTTATTAACTCTATCCTTGTGTCATTTTTAACAACTTATCAAATATATATGACTTCAAACCAGAATTCCATGTACAAAAAAATATGACAAACACTTTTTGATCCATTCTTGATCATAATCTTAATGTACAAGAAGTCAACGTTAGCATGTTTGCTTTCAATTAAACAATGTTCTGGAAGTAGCACTATGTGTGTCAGGATCACTACAGTAATCCTGTGGTACCATGATATACGGTGTAGGTTTTAAAATCATCACTTTTCTAGGGCTTAATTTTTAAGGTTTTGACAAAATACAGCAAAACCTTGATTGCTTCTTGTTTAATAATATTCACTACTTCACTTAATGACAACAATTCCACAGTCCCTTATCCTTTTTCTTTACTTACTCTACTCCCGTCAAACTGTTTACTAACTATATGTATTTGTATTTATCTAAAATATATATTACCCGCCAAACCGTTTACTACCACCATCTTGCTAGACAAATGTATATATATTTATCTGAAATATATATGAAGAAGTCCTTGCACAGGAAAATGAAGAAGTGAAAGGTCAGTTCACTGTTTTTTTGTATTATATATAGTGCCAGTATAACAATGTTGGTCCATATATTTGTCGTTTTACCAAATATATGGAAACTGGTATAACAACATCTACATTAATTGTTGTTTTCAAGAGGCATTTTGTTGGACATATAAATTTGTTGACAAAGAGTACCCACAAAATCAATGAAAATAAATCCCCTCCAAAATTTAATGATTCCACAGACTGACAGTATACAGCCAGGAAAGATTTGTAACAGGAAAGGAACAAAAAGATTGCAGATTTCATTGGCTGCGTACACTGAAGGGTAACACCTCTCCTAAAGGCTGTACATTATCTAGTTCATGTATCATTTCCGTCATACAATATACTTGGTATTTGGACGTCATAATAAACAATTCATATGTACATATTGATTTCAGCAGTGGAACAGTTGAAGATGAAAACAATAATATTAATAATGTAACAACAATAATGATACAGGTTCTTCACAAACACACAATGTGACCATGATGATGTAAAAACAGAGAAGAAAAATCAAGTAATGAGAAATGGTCTGATAAAGACTTGAAACCAATATGACATGCAACAATGCAACTTCCCACAAAATCAATATGTGTTGAAAAATTCAAAATGTTTTCATAAATATCAACAAAATAATGACACATTATAAAGTGAGATCATTTATAAAACAAATAGTGTTGTTTTCTTCGCCGTTTTTTTTTAAACATGAGGCCCAAAATGCCTGTATCACTCTTCTGTTGGTGGTGTTAGCAAATTTAAAGCTGAAATGTTAATCTCAGCTAAACAAGAGACTATCACTTTCATACCTGATATGAACATTTCACTGAACAATTATGAATTGAACAGCACTTTAACCCTGCTAGCTATAAGTTGGAGTTTGAACATATTTAACTCTGTGATAGCCTTTCACACCAGCAACTTCGAAACTGAATAACTATTTTAATCCTCATAAAAAAACACCATCATTTGACGGTTTTAACACACTTGACCTCTATGACCATGAATGCTAACAAAGATCATGTTTGAAACTTGATAAAAATTCACCAGATCAAATTGCAAGCCAATATTATGACATAATATACAATTATGGACTTTTGTGCTGGTGAATATGATGTGATATGAACCTGAAAGAATGATATTGACTGAGGAGAAGCCGAGGTCAATATTTCTCTTTCAGGTTCATATCACATCATATTTACCAGCACAAAAGCCCATAACTGTTTTATTATATGCTTCAACAATAAAATAAAACAAAATAAAATTCAAGGTTCTGATTTTTGTACGCGAGCCTCCGTGTAAAATTTAGCCAAGTTTGAATTCAACAGTTTAACATCGTAGCTTTCGAAGACGTCGTCTAGGTTCTTTTTCTTAAGATAAGCATGGAGGACATGCACTGCGTGTTCAATGGCCTTTTTATGTTAACAGTATCTTTATCCTTGAATAGTTTTGGTAATTTTCTGATGTAACGGAGGAGAAACGTTTGCCAGCAGCCATCTTCTAATGTTGTCTGACAGATCACGTTCCGGTCTAACTGCGCATGCGCTATGACAGGTTCCGGGGTATTTCCATATAGGCTATATTTAGAAATCGATATTCACCGGATAACCAGTCTACATGAGTTTTTGAGGACTGGTCACGTGTACATGATCCGACCAATGTGATTGCGAGAAATGTTCATGCATATAATAAATCCTCTTATGGAAGTAGTCAAATGTTAGGGAAAAGTTGACAAAATCAAAAGACGACAGATGACACACCATGGCATAAGTTGACCGACAATGTGTGCCAGTTGAACTGGAAATTGTCAGTTAATAAAAGTAATCTGATTGTTTAATTTCTGGTTGGGTAATTATTTTCTCTACATATCCGAATGTTTCTGGTTGGGTAATTATTTTCTCTACATATCTGAATTGAATTCCAAGAAGATAAACCTTGTAACTCATTCTCATGTCAACTTGTAATCTTGGTAATCCGTTTTCATCCTGACAGATATCTTTTTCTCATGACAACTTGTTCTCATCATAACTAGATAATCTTGATAACTCATTCTCGAGACAACTTCAGATAATCCTGATATCTTATCCTCACAACAAATGCAGATAATCTTATATATAAATCCTGTCATATGCAATGTTTTGACATCTTACCACTGCCAAAAGCTATTAAAGTTCTGGGTTTTCCCCCTTCAAATTCCACAATAAACCTGACTTAATTAAATGAAAATTTCAATTTGCAAAAAGAATATCATGTTTAAATCTCTGGTTTTAAGATGGTCTGACAATTTACGTATTACAAATATTCCTGATCATGTTGAATTCACACTGGAGATAACACTGATGAGAAAATTTCCGAAAATTGAGTCTCCCCCTTTTAAAGTCTGTTATTAGATGTAACACTGACTTTTTCATCTATTTTTTATACAGCATATTCCAAATTAATCATGGAGTAAGACGTGGGAAACCATACTTCAGTAACCCCATCAACCATCAAATAGACTGTAGTAATATAAGAAACAGTAAATAATATCACACTACACCCAGTCAAGTGCTTCCCTTCTGCCCTATCAATTCTGCAACGGCCCTATCAGATTTATGTGCCAACTAAATCGGCTTCACATACTGTCGTAATAATCAGCTACTCCACACAACAGGACCACTTACACAAATGGACCAATCACAAGGCTGAACGAATTCCATGGCTAACCACACACCATGCTGTATATGTATACTACTGATCCAGTCTGCAATTGACCAATAATTTGTTCTGTCCCGCACACTGAACATTGCACATAAATACGTGTGAATTGATAGTCTACCAAGAAGTTATCAATCAGTAAACCAAATCTTTGAGTGACCATGCTCTCCTAGGTGGACACGTTTAGCACATGCAATGACTTGCTCTGTGCAATTGTTTTGCGACGACACTGATATAGTGTTCATCAATAACACATCAGCTGTTCTGATCAAGTTTATCCTGATCAGCAGCTTATGCCTGAGTTTAACTTGTGGCGTGATCCTCAGTGAAACTTTGTCATGCTCTGTAAAACTTGAAAACTGACACTGGTTTACGTTCAAGTGTTATCCTTGTTCGTGAGATTGTTCTGTAGTTTGTGTTGAGATAACTGTTGTGAACTCTCAGCACTTGCTGTTGCTATGGATGATGTGGTTGCCATGGCGATGCTAGATAGGTTTCCGATAGAATGAGAAATGTTGTATGGAGGTTGTGAGGTCTGTATCTGTAGAAATGATGAAACAGGAAAAGTTAAAATCAAACTCCTCTTGTATAATATCACCAGTGGGTACTCTTATGTAACTGAGTAAGAAGTTTTATAATCATTACACTAGCTACATTGTAAATACAACACATGGGTCATATACGATGTCAATCTTCCTTATACAAACTAAATACAGTATATACAGAAAATTACTTTATGGATTTAACAAATATTGAGAAATTCTGGATTATGCTTTACTCATTTTGAACCCGTATAACATTACTTCCAGTTTAGAGGTGTTCAAGTTTTAACCTAGGAGAGGGATGGGAGGCACTCATTTTAAGATGAATTAGATTAAATATACAGTAATCCTCCCAATTCAAGCAGTAAGGACTAATTAAAACAGTTTTACAATAAAACATTGCACCACTGATGAGGATTGCAACTTACGGTATGATTGGGTATGCCGACAGGAACTGTCAGAGCTGAGGATGAGAGTGCTGCTGGGTTGATTTGAGCTGTAAATACGAAACGATGAGGTCTGAATTCACAAAAACATATTATGTTCATATGTTACAGAATATAAACAGAAATGGTAGAAAATAGCTACAAAACAGAAAACAAACTTTCTACGACTTCTAGACTATTATCAACTTGTTATCAATCTTTACCTATGGGCGAGTTACAGATAAATAATGTCTTTTATAGGCGAGTCATAATTTAACTTGACTTCACCTTTGATAGGTGAGTTATTAATACACTTTACCTGTAATAGGTGAGCTATAAATAATCTTTACCTGTAATAGGAGAATTACAAATAAACCTTACCTGTGACAGGTGAGTTACAATTAACATTTGGACTATGATTAGAACTGCTTCTCCCACATTGTTCCTAAAATAAAAGAGAACAAATTTTAAATTATAATGTATTTCTTTTGAAAGTTGCAGTATTTCCAAATTAAACAGAACTGTCCTAAGGAGACTTGACAACGTCAATGATCAAAACGGCTCCTCCTTCTTTGTTCCTTAAAGGAGAACAATTTAAGTTATATTGCATTTTTTTCGAAAAGTTCAGAATTTCCATATTAAACTAGAACAGTCCTAAGGAGACTAAACAGTCCCACAGTAGAGCCTGCTCTGTTCAAATTAAACTAATTATATATAAAACAGTCCTAAGGAGACTAAACAGTCCCACAGTAGAGCCTGCTCTGTTCAAACTAAACTAAAACTGTCCTGAGGTGACTAAACAGTCCCACAGTAGAGCCTGCTCTGTTCAAATTAAACCAAAACTGTCCTGAGGTGACTAAACAGTCCCACATTAGAACCTGCTCTGTTCAAATGTAACTAAAACTGTCCTGAAGTGACTAAACAGTCCCACATTAGAGCATGCTCTGTTCAAATTAAACTAATTATATACAAGAGGCCCAATGGGCCTGCATCGCTCACCTGTTATTAATCTAACACTTAAAATCTTAAGATTTCATAAGAACTTATTAAAAGATTTAAACATATGACGCATCTGACCTTGATTGTCGAACAAGGACATTAGGTTGAAAGTGGATCAAGGTCATTCATTTGAACAAACTTGATAGTCCTTCATCCCAGCATGCTACAGGCCCAATATCAGTACCCTGGGCCTTTTGGTTATTGAGAAGAAGTTGTATGAAGATTTTACGACATTTGACCCATGTGACCTTGAAAGTTGGTCAAGGTCATTCATTTGAACTAACTTGGTAATCCTTCATCCCAGCATGCTACAGGCCGAATTTCAGTACCCTGGCCCTTTTGCTTATTGAGAAGAAGTCGCTTGAAGATTTTACAACATTTGACCCCTTTGACCTTGAAAGTTGGTCAAGGTCATTTATTTGAACAAACTTGGTAGCCCTTCATCCCAGCATGCTACAGGCCTAATATCAGTACCCTGGGCCTTTTGCTTATTGAGAAGTTGTTTGAAGATTTTAACATATTTCAACCCCTTTGACCTTGAAAGTTGGTCAAGGTCATTTATTTGAACAAACTTGGTAGCCCTTCATCCCAGCATGCTACAGGCCAAATATCAGTACACTGGGCCTTTTGCTTATTGAGAAGTTGTTTGAAGATTTTAACATATTTCAACCCCTTTGACCTTGAAAGTTGGTCAAGGTCATTTATTTGAACAAACTTGGTAGCCCTTCATCCCAGCATGCTACAGGCCAAATATCAGTACACTGGGCCTTTTGGTTATTGAGAAGAATTTGTTTGAAGATTTAAGACATCTGACCCCAGTGACCTTGAAAGTGGGTCAAGGTCATTTATTTGAACAAACTTGGTAGCCCTTCATCCCAGTTTGCTACCGGCCCAATATCAGTACCCTGGGCCATTTGGTTATTAAGAAGAAGTTGTTTGAAGATTTTAAAGACATCTGACACCAGTGACCTTGAAAGTGGGTCAAGGTCATTCATTTGAACAAACTTGGTAGCCCTTGATCCCAGCATGCTACTGGCCAAATATCATCTTCCTAGGCCTTTTGGTTACCGAAAAGAAGTTGTTTAAAGCAAAAAGTTGACGCCGGACAGATGGACGCCGCACCATAACATAAGGTAATAAAACAGTCCCAAGGAGACTAAACAGTCCCACAGTAGAGCCTGCTATTTTAAATGTAACTAAAACTGTCCTGAGGTGACTAAACAGTCCCACAGTAGAGACTGCTCTGTTCAAATTAAACTAATTATATATAAAACAGTCCTAAGGAGAAAAAATTAAACTAAAACTGTGACCTAACAGTCCCACAGTATAGTCAATATAGTAAAGTTGTGAGGCAATCACTGTTTGTCAACACATGATCTGAATTATTTGCTACTTGTTTACATTTGAGAACATGTTATAAATATTACCTTAATACATATAAGAATAAAGATTCATACAATTCAGACTAGTTTGACTCATTTAACTTCAATAATTATAGGCATGCATGTTCTAATTACTGTGAATATGGTGCAAAATATTTCCTGGTAGATGCACTTTATAGGTAGTCAGGATATATATTTTGTGTTGAGTGTTGGAGTACATTTCAGGCTTACCTGTGAGGTCCTGGGACTGTGCTGGCTAGTGTCTAGAGAGGCAGTATTGATGTTGTTTGTTGAGAGTACATTTCAGGCTTACCTGTGAGATCCTGGGGCTCATGTCTAGAGAGGCAGTATTGATGTTGTTTGTTGGGAGTACATTTCAGGCTTACCTGTGAGATCCTGGGACTGTGCTGGCTCATGTCTAGAAAGGCAGTATTGATGCTGAGTGTTGGGAGTACATTTCAGGCTTACCTGTGAGATCCTGGGACTGTGCTGGCTCGTGTCAAGACAGGCAGTATTGATGTTGTTTGTTGGGAGTACATTTCAGGCTTACCTGTGAGACCCTGGGACTGTGCTGGCTCGCGTCTAGAGTACATTTCAGGCTTACCTGTGAGATCCTGGGACTGTGCTGGCTCGTGTCTAGAGAGGCAGTATTGAGTTGAGTGTTGAGTACATTTCAGGCTTACCTGCAGTGAGATCCTGGGACCGTGCTGGCTAGTGTCTAGAGATTTCAGGCTTACCTGTGAGATGCTGGGACTGTGCTGGCTCGTGTCTAGAGAGGCAGGATTGATGTTGTTTGTTGGAGTACATTTCAGAGTTACCTGTGAGATCCTGGGACTGTGGTGGCTAGCGTCTAGAGAGGCAGTATCGATGTTGAGGGTTTGAGTACATTTCAGGCTTACCTGTGAGATCATGGGACTGTGCTGGCTAGTGTGGTAGAGATTTCAGGCTTACCTGGGAGATCCTGGGACCGGCTGGCTCGTGTCTAGAGGGGCAGTATTGATGTTGTTTGTTGGAGGACATTTAAGAGATACCTGTAAGATCCTGGGACTGTGCTGGCTAGTGCCTAGAGATTTCAGGCTTACCTGTGAGATCCTGGGACTGTGCTGGCTAGTGTGGTAGAGATTTCAGGCTTACCTGTGAGATCCTGGGACTGTGCTGGCTAGCGTCTAGAGAGGCAGTATCGATGTTGAGTGTTTGAGTACATTTCAGGCTTACCTGTGAGATCCTGGGACTGTGCTGGCTAGTGTCTAGAGATTTTCGGCTTACCTGTGAGATCCTGGGACTGTGGTGGCTAGCGTCTAGAGAGGCAGTATCGATGTTGAGTGTTTGAGTACATTTCAGGCTTACCTGTGAGATCCTGGGACTGTGCTGGCTAGCGTCTAGAGAGGCAGTATTGATGTTGTTTGTTGGAGTACATTTCAGAGTTACCTGTGAGATCCTGGGACTGTGCTGGCTAGTGTCTAGAGATTTTCGGCTTACATGTGAGATCCTGGGACTGTGCTGGCTCGTGTCTAAAGAGGCAGTATTGATGTTGTTTGTTGGAGTATATTTCAGGCTACCTGTGAGATCCTGGGACTGTGCTGGCTAGAGTCTAGAGATTTCAGGCTTACCTGTGAGATCCTGGGACTGTGCTGGCTAGTGTCTAGAGAGGCAGTATTGATGTTGTTTGTTGGAGTACATTTCAGGCTTACCTGTGAGATCCTGGGACTGTGCTGGCTAGTGTCTAGAGAGGCAGTATTGATGTTGTTTGTTGGAGTACATTTCAGGCTTACCTGTGAGATCCTGGGACTGTGCTGGCTAGTGTCTAGAGAGGCAGTATTGATGTTGTTTGTTGGAGTACATTTCAGGCTTACCTGTGAGATCCTGGGACTGTGCTGGCTAGTGTCTAGAGATTTCAGGCTTACCTGTGAGATCCTGGGACTGTGCTGGCTCGTGTCTAGAGAGGCAGTATTGATGTTGTTTGTTGGAGTACATTTCAGGCTTACCTGTGAGATCCTGGGACTGTGCTGGCTAGTGTCTAGAGAGGCAGTATTGATGTTGTTTGTTGGAGTACATTTCAGGCTTACCTGTGAGATCCTGGGACTGTGCTGGCTAGTGTCTAGAGAGGCAGTATTGATGTTGTTTGTTGGAGTACATTTCAGGCTTACCTGTGAGATCCTGGGACTGTGCTGGCTAGTGTCTAGAGAGGCAGTATTGATGTTGTTTGTTGGAGTACATTTCAGGCTTACCTGTGAGATCCTGGGACTGTGCTGGCTAGTGTCTAGAGAGGCAGTATTGATGTTGTTTGTTGGAGTACATTTCAGGCTTACCTGTGAGATCCTGGGACTGTGCTGGCTAGTGTCTAGAGAGGCAGTATTGATGTTGTTTGTTGGAGTACATTTCAGGCTTACCTGTGAGATCCTGGGACTGTGCTGGCTAGTGTCTAGAGAGGCAGTATTGATGTTGTTTGTTGGAGTACATTTCAGGCTTACCTGTGAGATCCTGGGACTGTGCTGGCTAGTGTCTAGAGATTTCAGGCTTACCTGTGAGATCCTGGGACTGTGCTGGCTAGTGTCTAGAGAGGCAGTATTGATGTTGTTTGTTGGAGTACATTTCAGGCTTATCTGTGAGATCCTGGGACTGTGCTGGCTAGTGTCTAGAGATTTCAGGCTTACCTGTGAGATCCTGGGACTGTGCTGGCTAGTGTCTAGAGATTTCAGGCTTACCTGTGAGATCCTGGGACTGTGCTGGCTCGTGTCTAGAGAGGCAGTATTGATGTTGTTTGTTGGAGTATATTTCAGGCTTACCTGTGAGATTCTGGGGCTGTGCTGGCTAGTGTCTAGAGATTTCAGGCTTACCTGCGAGATCCTGGGACTGTGCTGGCTAGGGTCTAGAGAGGCAGTATTGATGTTGAGTGTTGGAGGACATTTCAGGCTTACCTGTGAGATCCTGGGACTGTACTGGCTAGTGTCTAGAGAGGCAGTATTGATGTTGTTTGTTGGAGTACATTTCATGCTTACCTGTGAGATCCTGGGACTGTTCTGGCTAGCGTCTAGAGAGGCAGTCTTACCTGTGAGATCCTGGGACTGTGCTGGCTAGCGTCTAGAGATTTCAGGCTTACCTGTGAGATCCTGGGACTGTGCTGCCTAGTGTCTAGAGATTTCAGGCTTACCTGTGAGATCCTGGGACTGTGCTGGCTCGTGTCTTGAGAGGCAGTATTGATGTTGGTTGTTGGAGTATATTTCAGGCTTACCTGTGAGATTCTGGGGCTGTGCTGGCTAGTGTCTAGAGATTTCACGCTTACCTGCGAGATCCTGGGACTGTGCTGGCTAGGGTCTAGAGAGGCAGTATTGATGTTGAGTGTTGGAGTACATTTCAGGCTTACCTGTGAGATCCTGGGACTGTGCTGGCTCGCGTCTAGAGAGGCAGTATTGATGTTGTTTGTTGGAGGATATTTCAGGCTTACCTGTGAGATTCTGGGGCTGTGCTGGCTAGTGTCTAGAGATTTCAGGCTTACCTGCGAGATCCTGGGACTGTGCTGGCTAGCGTCTAGAGAGGCAGGATTGATGTTGTTTATTGGAGTACATTTCAGGCTTACCTGTGAGATCCTGGGACTGCTGGCTAGTGTCTAGAGAGGCAGTATTGATGTTGTTTGTTGGAGTACATTTCAGGCTTACCTGTGAGATCCTGGGACTGTTCTGGCTAGCGTCTAGAGAGGCAGTATTGATGTTGTTTATTGGAGTACATTTCAGGCTTACCTGTGAGATCCTGGGACTGTGCTGCCTAGTGTCTAGAGATTTCAGGCTTACCTGTGAGATCCTGGGACTGCTGGCTAGTGTCTAGAGATTTCAGGCTTACCTGTGAGATCCTGGGACTGCTGGCTAGTGTCTAGAGATTTCAGGCTTACCTGTGAGATCCTGGGACTGTTCTGGCTAGCGTCTAGAGAGGTAGTATTGATGTTGTTTGTTGGAGGACATTTCAGGCTTACCTGTGAGATCCTGGGACTGGGCTGGCTCGTGTCTAGAGAGGCAGTATTGATGTTGTTTGTTGGAGTACATTTCAGGCTTACCTGTGAGATCCTGGGACAGTGCTGGCTAGCGTCTAGAGAGGTAGTATTGATGTTGTTTGTTGGAGTACATTTCAGGCTTACCTGTGAAATCCTGGGACTGTGCTGGCTAGTGTCTAGAGAGGCAGTATTGATGTTGTTTGTTGGGGTACATTTCAGGCTTACCTGTGAGATCCTGGGACTGTGCTGGCTAGCGTCTAGAGAGGCAGTATTGATGTTGTTTGTCGGGGTGTAGGATAGACAAAGACGTGCATTCACTGCCAGTAGGTGGTCGCGTCGAGATGTCAGGCTCTGAATGTGGTCCTCTAAACGTTTGTTTTCTGATCTTAACTGATGAAGACAGCTCAAAAGGGAGGCAACTGAAGATGAAACAGGATGTATCATGAAATTATTTGAATTGTGAGTCATTATAGAGAACTGCGAGCCATTTCCTACAGATGCCTATGCATTTTATTATCCTGACAATGGTAGTTACTCCCAACAATTATAACAAATGCATACAAATACAAATAAAACTTGACTCTGTATTTCATATTACTAACTCAGTGTTTACCGTTTCAAATGTTGCCCCTACCATCTAAGTAACTATTCACAGATGGGAATTTGACCTTGGGATACTGACTCGACCTGTGCTTGCTTTTAGAGTGTTGTCGATGCTGCATTATTGACAATTCAGAGATGACCTTGACCCGGAGATGCTAACTTGATCTAGTTACTGTGACCTTGACCCGGAGATGCTAACTTGATCTACTTACTGTCAAAGTGTTGTCCTTGCTGCATGAGGAACTGAGATCCCTGCTCCCACTGTCGCTCGAGTAGCTGATCCAGACTCGTTGGGAAATCACTGTCGTAAAACAACAAAGTATCATTAAAGTAACATCAGGTAACAGGTTGTCTACATGACAAACACAGGATCATCATTAGCCTTTACAAAAGTGGAGTCCCAAGCAGGTAATATTATCACATAGTGGTGTGAATGTAAGACTTCATTATGAAATATTTTGGAGTGCCTTGCAATTTTATGTCTTTAATATGATAATGGATATATATATATAGGAATGGTGTAAACTATTGAATCTTGCATGCAAAGTAGACAACAGAAACCCTTTGTTAAAGTAAAGTTACTTTGAAACCATTTAGTGTTTAAATGAATTTCAACTTTGGGGGCAAGGAATCACTTTCTGTAATTTTCACCACCCACATTTTATTCCTTAGGCAAAATCAACAAATGTCGATAATCATTTTAGACACACACCACCCATATATTATCAATTATATGGAGGACATCTAACAGTGTCTTCAGTACGCCCAAATATATTTCACGAGTGTGGCTAATGCACACTCTGGAAAGATATCAAAACATTAGCCATTCTCATGAAATATATTTGGTATTACTGAAAACACTGTTAGATATTCTGTTTATTACAAATTTTTTTGCAAAAACTTTCTCCGCAAGGCCAAGCAACACATCAAGCTGGCAATACTTCACTGGTAAAAATGTAATGAAAGTGCTTCCCCTATCCCCACCCGGATATTTTCATATCTTCAAAGTTTTCTATACATGAAGGATTGACCTAGAATAATTTAGAACATCAAGAATTTTTTTTATACACTTTTGCATCATAAACCAGTATTGTCTCCTTTTGAGAACTCATATTAGTTCTGCCTTAACAACATTTAAAATGTCTTGTTTCGACAGTGAAGTGGTGACACTTTCCCGTTGTCTTGTTTAGACGGTGAAGTGGCGACACTTACCGGTTGTCTTGTTTAGACGGTGAAGCGGCAACACTTACCCGTTGTCTTGTTTAGACGGTGAAGCGGTGACTTACCTGGTGTCTTGTTTAGACAGTGAAGCGGCGACACTTACCCGTTGTCTTGTTTAGACGGTGAAGTGGTGACACTTACCTGTTGTCTTGTCTAGACATGAAGCGGTGACACTTGCCCATTGTCTTGTTTAGACGGTGAAGTGGTGACACTTACCCGTTGTCTTGTTTAGACGGTGAAGCGGCGACACTTACCCGTTGTCTTGTTTAGACGGTGAAGCGGTGACACTTACCTGGTGTCTTGTTTAGACGGTGAAGCAGCGACACTTACTCGTTGTCTTGTTTAGGCAGTGAGGTGACACTTACCGGGTGTCTTGTTTAGACGGTGAAGCAGCGACACTTACCCGTTGTCTTGTTTAGACGGTGAAGCGGCGACACTTACCCGTTGTCTTGTTTAGACGGTGAAGCGGTGACACTTACCTGGTGTCTTGTTTAGACGGTGAAGCAGCGACACTTACCCGTTGTCTTGTTTAGACAGTGAAGTGGTGACACTTACCCGTTGTCTTGTTTTGACTGTGAAGCGGTGACACTTACCCATTGTCTTGTTTAGACGGTGAAGTTGTGAGACTTGGAAACATTTTTGGCACTCCTGTTAACTCGTTACTGCCATCCATTTCTAAAGGTCAAAGGTGAAATAGGTAAATATTTGTGCTGTCATAGGTACGTTAGTCAACAGAACAGAACAAGTGGTTCTATGTACTTTTAGGTTAAATTTGTATAACAAGAGGGCCAAGGGCCTTATCTGTCACCTGAGTGATATCATAGGTACTGGTAGCTTTATTTTATTGTTTAGATGTGATGTGGAAATCAGCATGTAAACTAAGTGAAATACAATATTTGTCATGTCATCAAAGGATGGGGCATGAATCCCAATTTTACAATGTAATACCCTCATTCACTAAAGATGATTCTGACTAAGTTTGAGTAATTTTCTGCTGAAAATGGAAAAAAATAATCCCAAAAGTGTTATTTCCCTATATAAACTAAACTTTACCCCCTCCCCAAGGGAGAACGGATAGCTTGAGAAGAAGATTTTTGAAATATTGGTTAATTTTCCCTTTGGGGCCCCGCCCTGGCCCAAGGGGCTGGGGTAGGAATCTCAATTTTACAATTCAAAACCATCTTCCTCCAAGGATAGTTCTCATCAAGTAAGAATAATTTCCTATAGAAAATTGTCAAAATATACCCAAAAGTGTTGTTTCCCTATATAAACTATAGTAAACTTTACCCACTCCTCAAGGGAGAATGGATAGCTCTAGGGTCCTGAAATTTACAATTTTAATAAAGCTCTTGATGATCTTTCCATCCATGCAGAGAGAATGACTGTAGTACCTCTGAGTCTGGAGACGAAGATTTTTGAAATATTGGTTAATTTTCCCTTTGGGGCCCCACCCTGGCCCCAGGGATTGGGGTAGGAATCCCAATTTTACAATTTTGTAGCCTCATCTACCAAGGATATTTATGACCAAGTTTGAAAAAAATTCCATCCCCTGGTTCTTGAGAAGTTGAAAATGTAAAAAGTTTACACACAACGGATGGAAAGTGATCAGAATAGGTCACTTGAGCAAAGCTCAGGTGACCTAAAAACATGATTTTTGGAGTAACAAATAATCCACCTTAATATGATCTCCCCTTCAGATAATTAATTCTAATCAATGTATATGTAGTTCCCAACCCTGTATAAACTAGAACAAGGACACAAACAATTGTTAAATAACACTAATGTATAAATACTGCCATCCTTACCTGGACTCACAGCATTCATATTGTCTGTTGAATAAAACAAAACATTATTAACTCATGCCATATGATCAAGAAGAATACATAAAATAAACAAAAAACATATAAATTGTAGACGTCTCAGAATTTATTTGAAATCATTTACTGTTGAAACATTTCTAAGTAGGACAGACAGTCATTTGTTATCTCTCTTTCACCTCATAACTTCTAAAATGTAACCTTGAGGAACCCCCACCTACAATGTATATAAAGTAGTACATACCTGGAGATGGAAACATGAAGACCACAGTTAGTTAGATATTTTGTACACAAGTTTTTTGTATAACATTTTGACCACAAAAATCTAATCAGATGTAGAAGTTGATGCTACCATACTATGGTGTAATTATCAACTGAATCTGATGAGGGGTTTGTGAAATATTAGTACAGGCAACAAGCCCTGAGCAAAAGCAAAGAGGTAGAATTAAATGGAACTTATGTGTGAATAAGAAAATGAACGACTTATGAGGAGTCTTGTATTAATAACTTTTAATTCTGCTAAGTGTCTTGGACTACTTACTTGTCGGCCCAAAAGATGATGACAAAGACAGTGGACTTGGGGCACTGAGACTTTGAAAATATGGACTTCCTCCAAATGTAGCAAAACTATTCATCCTGAAAAATCAGAACATTTTCAGTAATAAATGCTCATATAAATAACTCATATATATATACCAGTGAAAATTTGGAGAATAAATTGCCTCAAAAATGATTTTTTTTCTCAGCCAAAATTGTTCCAATTATTTTAGAACCTTGATTCTGACCTAAGGGAATCCCCTTTGCACATTACCATAAAAGAGTGCTTGGTTATTAATAATCTGACCTCTTACGGAACTTTAATCTGACAACTTTGACCTTGAATCTTTGATGAACTGACTAAAAATTTGAACTTAAACCTTCACATCATTGACTACTTTTTTGACCCTGAATTTCTGGTGCGAACAACACCTTCCTCCAACGTGATGTAGGTTAACCTTGACCATGATCTGTTAAATGTTGACATACATACATACCCTGCCAGTCCAGCTACTGTATTACTAATGGTTCCATCCCCTTTCCATTTTGCCTTCTTTGTTCCTGGAGGCGATGACTCCTTCACATTTTGTGACCCTGATTTGACCTTTTTTGAACCTGATGACCCCTGTCCTTGCTTCAATCTCTTTACCTTTTTATCTCCTTTCTCCAGTGACCTGTCAGATTAATTTTTTGTAGGTGACATATTGTGTCAAAAAGAATGTAGTACTGATCAAGATTTTAACTGAAAGTTACCAAATACTTGCTTTACAAACTAAATGTTATTAATTTGGTATTGAAATTTAATCAAGGATTTTGTTGGCAAACATGCGATATATGCACATACACATTTTTATATACACGTCAAAATTTTAAATATCTTTATAATTAGTGTCTGCATTGATAATGCTGTCCCCGTATATTGAATTCTATTAAGCAGTAAGTGTTAATGACCCTAGATGTTTCACAAATGTATCTTATATCACTTCTTTGATCCAAATTATTGTCTGGTGGGGTCAGCTGTTCTTATCAAATCCTGACATCACCAAAATAACCTATTTATATAATTATAACCTTACACTGACCTTGACCTAGAGCGTTTACCATCCATGACATCGGAGTCTTCATCCTCTTCTGTCGCGGAGTCATCCAGGGAATGTTGTCTCGACACTGATGTCACCCCACCCACAAAGTTCTCCAGAACACCCGAAAATGATGTAGCCGGAGCCCCTAAGGAGCTAGTTGCTGCACTTGTTGAACCCATCATACTAGAGTCATTGGAATTTGGGGCCATGAATTTGGGCTCTGCTACCAGAGGGAGCTTTGGATCACCGTTGTGGGTTAGATCCAAGATTGCAGTGTCCTGCTCGTCCATAGACGGAGATTCTGTGGAACTGACTGCAGACGAGTCTGACATCCCTATGCCACTACTGTGTGACAATGGGGGTGTATTGATCTCCCGTTCCTTAAGTACGTCAACACCACCTGGTGGTACTGTGGAGTAGGCACTGGAAATCTGGGAACGAGACTCGCGTTGCTGGGCGAACAGTTCTGAGGACGTATACTTGGCCTCTGCTTTATTTCCCTTCTGTAAAATAAAATTGTAAGATACTAATAAAACCTTGGACTTATCCCTTAGTTAGAACACAAATCAAAGTGTTCCTGAAAGCATCCTTTACAATAAGAGGCAAATGCTCCCAGCAGCAAGGAAGGTTTTGACTTCAAAACTGCACAGAAAGGTTCAAGTTTATATCTAATGTCAAAAGAAGAAAAGAAGAGATTTACTGAAATCTGATAATGAACAGGTACATTTTGGAAGACTCTGACATTTTAAATTCTACAATTGAAATTAAATAAAATCAAAAATGTGAAAAAAAATTCTCTTGACATGCATATCCAAACCTGATTTCACCACAATCCTTTTCAGTCCCATTCCCTATTGAAAATGTACTAGTTTCACAAAAAAAAATATCACAATAAGAAAAAAATACTTAAATGCTTTTGAATATTGTTGAAGTATGAAGGACTGTGTTAGCCTGTCCCAGTACCTTGAAATTCTTGTTGGAATTGATGTTTTTCTCCGGTGAATTGTCCGGAGTAGCATTGTCTGCTGGTATGGGTTTAAACGCAGGGATGATTTTGATATTTGCATCTTTTTTCTGAAAAACAAAATCAATAACTTATAATTAAGGATTGAAGGTATGTCAAGATTGCAGTTACAGCCAATATGAATGCAATATTGGCTGTAACCGCAATCTGACAGACGTTTAATTGTTATTTTTACATTTCCTCATACGACCTGTCTTTTATAAATTAGTCAGATGCGCTTAATTTATATTTCCTGCTGCTGCAAAAACTCACTGGTCCAATTCTACGAATAGCTGCAGACGGCCATTATCGGACCAAAACCTTCCCAAACAACAGTCGCCATTAAAAAATGTAACCTGGCGACAACTGTTAAATGAAGTTAAATGCTCTAATTATATGTGTAGAACATTCTCATACAAAAGTAAGAACTTCCCTTCCTATTCTGGACGTCTTCATTGTCAAAACCCGTCAAAATGCGAATTGTATTAACCAAATGACAACAACAAGATGGCGGCTATCGTATTGGTGGGAGTGGTTGCTAACACTGACGTCACGGAATCCATGGTCATGTGACCAGATAATCGGACTGTACATAGTTACTGTCCAGTAACTACAGGCTGACTTTCCATAGAGTTATTGGAAAATGGGAAGGGAATATGTAAATATTGTTATTTAAATGCAATGTTTTCTGTTGAAGTATTGAAGTATTCACAGCCTAAAATAATCTATTCAGCATTCATATATATATTACATAAACTAACATTTAGTTAACTTTTGTTCTTGCTGATTACTGTATTTTACCAATAATAATCCAACATTATTTTTCTGTCATAAAAGTCCGGATTTGATCTAGCTTTCTGAATTGACTGCCATTTATTTAAGATAATTTGATAATGCAGCTTTAGCCTCAAAATTCCAAACTCCCACAGAATTTTTCTCAGTTTGTTACACAGGACTGACTTTGATTTCTGCATATGGAAAGCAGTGCTCAAGATAAAGACAAATATTTATCTTGTATATATAAATACTTAAGACTGTTCATCAAACCAGAGAGCCAGAGACTTAAGCTAGGTAAAGCTTAAGAAAATTGGAATCATCCCTGTCAAATGAGATTAAAATTATATTGAAATTCTACTTTATTTATTTTTTGAAATTTCCAAATATTTGAATAGAGCTCATATAAAGCTATTCCTACAAAAATTTGTGGATCCATCCATCAAGCCCCCATTGTAACTTTTATACATACCAGTTTTTTGTAGTGATAAGCACAGTATCCACAATACTTGACATTGTCTCCGTAGTTACCAGCTTCCTCACATAGCAACCCGTGGGCTTGAGCACTGGAGTAATAATCGTAAATTACAGGAGTGAGAAACAATATCATCCATTCTAATGCCTCTTACAATTTCAATATTTGCATATAAAAATCTATGATGCCTTTATTTTGATAGCATCAATATGTTTCTGATATTTCAAAAGCAACGATACCTTTTCAGTTTTACATTTTCAATCATATTTACTTTTTTTAATGTTCAATTAAAATGTAGGTTATAAACTCAAATTCCTGTAATGTACAAGTTTGAATCTAGCTAGAGTTGTTAATATATAGGAGTATTTGGTAACTAAGGACTGTTGTACTCACCATGTGACATGGAAGTTCTGTTTACATCCATTTTTGTTACACTGCATACATGCTCCCTGGGTAGCCTTGCTGCTTCGCTCATGTTCTTCACAGATGTAGCATGTCTGTCAGATAAAATACACTGTTAATAAGCTACTATAGAAACCTTAGGGAAGTAAATTAGCAAGTTAGAGTTTCTTGGGTCTTTGTTACAAAGACATTCTATAGTCAGTCTAGAATTAAGGAGTGACCGGTCTTATACTATTTCACTAAATAGGTTCTCATTGTTAGTTTATAGTAACCCTCCCAAGTTTCTAACAAACCACATACTGTGTTGATCATTGGGTGTCAGATGGGTTTCTTTCTTTTTTGAAAAAAAATCCCAAGAAAGTTTGCCTTGAAAAGTCCCTAAACCGTTAACCTTGTCGAGCCCCTAGAGAGTTTATCTAGTTGAACCCAAATAAGTGTATCTTGTCGAACTCCTAGAAGATTTCGTTGCTGAACCCCTAGAAAAGTGACCTCATTCAACCCTAGAACACTTCCCTTGATCAAGTCTTTCAAAGCTGACTTTCTGAGAACTTTATATCAAACTGACCTTGTGAAATCTCTCTGGTGGCACATTCTTCAGTACAATAGGCTCCATGGTCTGCACATTGGCAAACCAGGCCTCGGGTATAAACAGCGCACAAACAACGTGGCACCAACTCACTGTAACGTCAACAACAGGAGAAAACTAGCCAAATGTGGCTTTGGAAGGTCATAAATGTGAAGTTTTTGAGATCAGATCAATAGATGTGACCACAAGACTTTGATTCCCTAATCAGTATATATCACAATTATCAGTCTAGTCTAATCAGGATTTATTTTTGTATCATATCAAAACAGGTAAACCTGTACAAATTACATATAGACTGTACTTAAAATTCACATCATTTATCATTTTTTTCCAATACAGACATTTTATCATACACTGAACACTTCCATTGAACAGTGTGTATACAAATGTAATACACCTGTGTACATTAAACATTGAACAGTGTGTATACAAATGTAGTACACATGTGTACATTAAACATTGAACAGTGTGTATACAAATGTAATACACCTGTGTACATTAAACATTGAACAGTGTGTATACAAATGTAATACACCTGTGTACATTAAACATTGAACAGTGTGTATACAAATGTAATACACCTGTGTACATTAAACATTGAACAGTGTGTATACAAATGTAATACACCTGTGTACATTAAACATTGAACAGTGTGTATACAAATGTAATACACCTGTGTACATTAAACATTGAACAGTGTGTATACAAATGTAATACACCTGTGTACATTAAACATTGAACAGTGTGTATACAAATGTAATACACCTGTGTACATTAAACATTGAACAGTGTGTATACAAATGTAATACACCTGTGTACATTAAACATTGAACAGTGTGTATACAAATGTAATACACCTGTGTACATTAAACATTGAACAGTGTGTATACAAATGTAATACACCTGTGTACATTAAACATTGAACAGTGTGTATACAAATGTAATACACCTGTGTACATTAAACATTGAACAGTGTGTATACAAATGTAATACACCTGTGTACATTAAACATTGAACAGTGTGTATACAAATGTAATACACCTGTGTACATTAAACATTGAACAGTGTGTATACAAATGTAATACACCTGTGTACATTAAACATTGAACAGTGTGTATACAAATGTAATACACCTGTGTACATTAAACATTGAACAGTGTGTATACAAATGTAATACACCTGTGTACATTAAACATTGAACAGTGTGTATACAAATGTAATACACCTGTGTACATTAAACATTGAACAGTGTGTATACAAATGTAATACACCTGTGTACATTAAACATTGAACAGTGTGTATACAAATGTAATACACCTGTGTACATTAAACATTGAATAGTGTGTATACAAATGTAGTACACCTGTGTACATTAAACATTGAACAGTGTGTATACAAATGTAATACACCTGTGTACATTAAACATTGAATAGTGTGTATACAAATGTAGTACACCTGTGTACATTAAACATTGAATACTATGCACATACCACCAGTGTCTGTTCTTTTTAGTGCACCATCCTTCTGGGGGCAAAGTTCACATCTCTACAACACAAACACAAATACAGTATTAACAGACCATGTACTACTAATCACCAGATCTACATAGAAACATAAGCAGCTTACAAGATAAATGCTGCATCCTCATGATCTGGAATCAGAAGTTCTTTTCTGTTTTTTTCATTTTTTTACACTGATATCCTGCAAACCAAGTGTTGAAGCTAAACACTATTTCCAAAAATAACAGCTGTTAATATAAATAAGCACCCCAAACTGAGCCTACACCTCAAAGCTGACACCATGAAGATCGATCTCATCTACTACACACACAGGTACATACACTGTATACAGGTATAAATGGTATGGACTTCAAAGTATACATTATTATGAAAGTCCACACTATTTGATGTTATGTAAACTAAAAATTGAGTTTCAAATCATGGAATGGCTTATTAGCAATGTGCAGACTTTCCATACCAAAAACAAAATCCCCAAGTCTTAAATTGAAGGATCCCTGTGTTACTAAAGGAAAACTGCAAGAGACTTAGCTTCCATGTTAGTTTTTAAACAAATTCACGACATACATTAAACTCCTCTCACTTTTGTTGTTGGTATGACTGTGTGATGGGTATAATTGTACTATATACATGTTACTATAATGTACCCTTGACCAAGCTTAAGTCATTAAGCTCATTTGGTTGGAGTGGCAGCATTATGATTGCAGGTCTAGGGTTAAATTCTAGTAGTATAGCCCCCGTTACTTTTTTTCTTTCTTAAATAAATGCTCTGTTATTACTTAGGTAGGTTTTCTTTTCAGAAGTGATCTATCAAAGTTATTATCTTGCTGGAAAAAAACAGTCTTAAAAGTTTAATAAACTTTTGGCACAGGGATCCTTCTGTTTCATTCAAGTTTTCAAAAGATGATGACAGAAAATCTTTAAAAATAAAGAATTACTGTACATAATCCTTGGGAGATTGTAAAACCTCCTCTCACATAAATAAGACGTTATTGGAATAAATTATACATTTTACATGACTAGACAATCTACGATGTAGCATGCATAGTTAGTCCAGTCCTGTCACCCATAGGCCTCAGTCTATAACTGATATCATAAACAGTCCAGTCCTGTCACCCATAGGCCTCAGTCTATAACTGATATCATAAACAGTCCAGTCCTGTCACCCATAGGCCTCAGCAGTGTTCTCCCCAGGCTGTTTTTTTGCAGCATAGCACCGGTACCATGCTCCTTTAATTTCTTGCCATGTTGCTATCCTAGATCTTCTCTGCTATATATTCTTGGTAAATCTAAAGTTACAATGCTGCTTTGATTTTACACAGAGTGCTGCTTTAACAGAAATATTGAAATACCATGCTTCTTTCAAAACATCTGGGGAGAACACTGCTCAGTCTATAACTGATATCATAAACAGTAAGTGTATAATATAAACACTACATGTATTTGCTGATCATTCTGATTGTCACCAACACTAATTTTGTCTCTGTTGATCTACTGTCTAGGACATGAATCTTACAGAATCATGTACAGCCTTGTTTGATGGAGATTAGTAAAGGAACTTGAATACATATCAAGACAATATTACTTCTACATCTCCGTCATACTGAGGTGACTGAATCTACTATATACATAGCTAGCTATTTGAAGAAATGCTGGAACAAGCTAAAGGTAAAAGCGATTTTAATTAATTTCAATTTAGATCATTAATGAATTTGCAGAAAACCTGCAAAAATCTAATTGTACTGAAATTGGATATTTCTAATATGCAAGCACATTCAATTTCGGTAAAGGTTGGGTTGACTTGTTTATAGTCTTGTTAACTAATGCAGTAATTACTGGCAGGCCAGCAACAGAAAATCAAAATGTATAATCATGAATGTCTCAATTCTGCATGATACATATTAGAAATTATAGAATGCAGAACTACATATGTTTGCAGATGTATTATTTTGCACATAAAATATATTTACTGTAAGTATTTGTGATATCATGATCAACTATCAGAGGTTTTCGCAACACAAAATTGAGAGTAAAATTTCTATTTATCACTGAACTCATTCTCCCCTGAAGACACATTTGAACTCCTCCAATTCAAAGGTTGGGTTAGTTTATTAGGAAATTTCAGGGGTGAATGAGTTAATTCAGTATTTTGAAAATAGTATTTATTACTAAATAAATAGCCAATTATATAGTAATAAATTGTTAAAATTTCATAGAAAACATGCTTTTAAAAATCTCTGATACGGAACATGGAGTGCTCAGGCAGTGTTAGGTTGCAAATAAAACTTACTGAAGGTTCTGGAGTACTATTTCTGTTGCTACCCTGCTAGATAAAAAATGGACAGGTTCATGAATCAAAAACAGTATTTACATTCAATATAAGCAATTTGAGTATTTCTCAGTTGCAAAGACATGAAGCAGTGATAAATGTGATAAATCTTACATACGAGTCCTGAGTCCTATACTCATAGAATTTTGACGGGACTTGCAGCATTTCTGGAAATACTTAAATCTAACATTGTCGGACCCATTGTTTTTAGCAAAACAGTTGAAAATGACCCATGTAAATACAATGTAGATTGATCACTGCATGAAGGTATTTTTATCCTCGTTATCCCTTGTTTCCAGCAACAATAAATTCCCTATCTCCCTCATTCAAACAATGATGATCCAAAGTTCAAATCGCTGCAGTAATCTGAACATCTTGTATATCAGGAATGTGTAACTACACAGGGAAAAAAATACAAATACGCTGCTTTTATCATGAATGGAACACAAATATCTAAACCGAAGGATTTGAAACAATTGTTCCCATGATTTATCTAATAATATATCACCAAACAAATAAGATCCACACTGAAACAGCATCGAAGCATTGTCAACAGAGTCAATGCTCACATAGTTCCAGACAAACCGAAACTCAAAATGTTGTAAACGTGCTTCCGGTTGATCACAAAATGGCTGCTTACCACTCGAGCTGTCCGTTCTTGAGACTCGCATTTCCTGCAGAACCAAGGTCCTGTCGGCACATGAACGATCCCGTAACATGCTGCAAATAAAGGAGAAAATGATCTTCAACTATGTTGAATAAAATCGCAAAAAAAACTCATCCCTGAAAGGTGCACACATGTGGAGGGAAAACCACAGAAGTGGCAACGAACCTTGGTGTACGGCGACATTACAACCAGTTCCATCACAATAAACGAGTGGGTTTTCAGCCCATCCGCGTTCGTCGGAGCATACGCAACATCCCCCAACCATCTCCTTCATATTGGCGAGCTCCAAATTCTAAAAAGCCCCTCAAAATCACATAATGTTTGCATCTTAACTATTCATCCTCCATAACCTTTTCCGGTTATTAAGGTTATTACACATGCGCACACAATGACGTAATGAATTGTGGGATATGTTGTTGAACAAAACCAAAACACAACCACGTGCTTTCCCGAAAACGTAATATTTTGTCACATATAATATGCGTAGAGAACAGTTCTCTTCTTTTTCCGCTTTAAAATTTTATGACCAACGGAAATCCATAAATTAAAACAATTAAATGTAAACGTACAGCTAAAATTGAAAATAAAACTTTAATGGCATTCGACTTTTATCATTTTCGTAGAGTCCTTTTACGATTTTTAACTGTTGTATTTCCGCCAAGACTGTAATTACAGACTTGGATATCAAAGCCAGTGCTACATGCACAATATAGATCATCATGATCTGTTTCTGATCACGATAAGGTTTAAAGTTTATTGAAAAAATATATGAAAAACACAAATTCTTTCGAAGACGGCTTCTTTTATTCATATAAGTAGATCTACTACTGAGTCTAATGAAATCTTTTACCAGAAGCATGAAATGATAATGTCTCAGGTAAAAGACACCGACAGAAAAACAGAAAAAATACCACAATTAAGGATGTATACATAATTATATATATTCATGTATTAAAGTTATTTCTTATATGCATTTTTGGAAAAAGGAGTTAATGGCATAGTAGAATATGCAATAATATATGTCCGTGTGTCCGTTTTTTCCCCTATGATCGGTCAAAGATACCAATTTAACATAATTTGTGATTTTTGAGTTTAGTTGATATACGTTTAGTTTTAACTATTTGCAGGACAAATTCATTCATTATCTTCCAAGTGTGTTATTAGATATCTATGAATGTTTGCAGAATTGATGATACTCGTCCTGCTATTTAATTATCAAAGTAAAATTTCTTAATCTTATTATTTTAATTCAGAAAAGCGATTTAAGTTACCCCTACCCCTTATTTTAAATAAAACAGCCACACAAATGGGGGTCTGTGTGCTTCTTTTTTTGTCCCATGATCATATGTGTTATTTCTTTTTTTTACCTTTTTCGGGGACAACAATTTAGGTGCTTTAGTTACATCATATTGAACATAATCAAGGTTTACTGTAAAAAAGAACTTGCTACAATTAAAAATGGCGACTCAATTACGATTTTACGACGAGAAATCAGGAAAAGAGATAGACTACTTCAATTATTCAGATCACACTGTTCCCCAAAAAAAATAGCCAACTTTCGGAAACAACGTAATCATGTAAATAATCTTCAAAAGCTAACAAAAGAATTTTGTATGCAGATATAAAATGGCAGTTTAGATCAATACTCCGATTAGAACCCTAAAAACTTTTGGAAAATTGTCCGCAAATTAATAAAAACTTCCGATAACGTCAATAGTATATCTCCTCTTAGAAATGAAACTGGAAACCTAGAAATAGCAAACGACATTGAAGCTAATATTCTGAATGATTACTTTGTTTCCATTTCTACAATTGACGATACAAACATTGACGTACCGACGGTAGAACTTGTGACAAACTCTACTTTATCTGACATACCTCTCAACACTAATGACAATATAGACATTCTCAAATCTTTAAATGTTAGTTAAGCTGTTGGAAATGACACAATTAGCCATCATCTGTTGAAAAATACAGCAACCTCGGTAGCTCTCCCTCTATCTCTTATATTTAAATCTTCTCTGGAGACTGGTGTCTTTCCTAGCCAATGGAAACAAGCCTTTAGAGATGACTTCATTTTAAAAGGGGGATACACAAGATTCTGCTAATTATAGACCGATTGCTTTATTAAGTACAGTTGGGAAAGTCTTTGAACGGCTAGTATAGTAAAATATTTAAATAACTGTTTATTAGATAATTCATTAATATATAAACATCAATCTGGATTCCAGCCTTGTCACTCTACTGTTCATCAAATGATATAAATGTATCACACATTATGCGAAAATTTAGAAAAAAAGGTATCCTACTTGCCTAGCTTTTTGTGATATATCTAAAGCGTTCGATCGTGTGCGACACAGGAGACTGAAAGTGAAACTAGCTAGCTATGGTATAACTGGGAAAATATTAGATTGGCTGAGTACTTATGTTAGTGATAGGAGGCAGCAAGTTTTTATTTGTAATGATAAGTATTCTTTTACGTATACTAATACTGGAGTACCCCAAGGCTCAGTACTAGGCCCTTTACTTTTTATTTTATATATAAATGATATATCTTCAGATAGAGTCTGCAAGGATAATTACTGGGTTACCTTCATTGAAAGTGGTTTAGAAACTTTATCTGAGAGAAGATCAAGAAGGAAATTACAACTTTTTTTTTTTTACAAAACTCATAATAATCACGCACCGAACTTTCTCGTCTCCCTACTACCCCCTTTAGTGTCATAATCTCCCATTATAACCTCCGTAATGCTGAGAACTACTGTATACCTAATTCCAGACTACAACTAACAAGTTTTTAAAAATACTCTCCGTAAGCAAAACTTAATTCACGTTCCAAATTATTACCTCATCGGCGACAGCAAAAGAAATATTTTATATTCTAGATTACGAAATCGTTCTAGTACCTTAAATACTCATCTATTTCATGCCAATTTAATTGATTTCCAGCATTGTCAGTGTGAACATCCCGTAGAAGATACATACCACTTATTTTTTGTCTGTAAAAACTATGCGAACCAGAGAGTTAAACTCTTCCGTGAATTGAATGATTTCATCCCACTTGACTTGCAGCTAGTGTTATATGGTAGTAATGAATTGCCCCAGTAAGATAATGAACCAATAGTAAGACAGACGCAGCAATTCATCCGATACACAAATAGATTTTGAATATTATCTCTTGCTCTCCCAGCAGGTCAAAAAATTAGACTAACCTTATACTTAGTTTTTTCCCCAGCTTACTCTGTAATACAACATTATAGTTAACCTGTGTACCATTATTTTCATAATCAATAAATATGTGAAAAAGAAACTATACCATGTGGCTGGTCTTTCTGTGTGAAGACGGACTAGTGGAAATGAAAATACCAGCGGTCGACGAATGAACAGGGGAAAGATTTATAGCACGGGATGTGATGAACATTAGAACAGCAGACAGTGAACGAATAGTGAAAAGATTGTAACAAACGGAACTAGGCTAGTTCCGTTTGCATTGGGAAGAGCAGTCACATGGTCAGAGATGCAGTTTTACACATTTTAGTAGCTCTAGAATCTAGCTTCAAAAAAGGTGAAAATTTGGTCTTTCGTGAAGCGCAAGAAATACACATTTTCAAAATGGCCACCAAATTGGTCATTATTTTTATTCTCCTACAAAAGTTCTACGAACAACAGGCATCTAGTCTTAACGCATTTTCAGCTGCGAGCTAGCTATTAAAATTAATTATTACTTTTTAAAAATTACAAAAACCTGTCACACAAGATCAAAACGAGAATTGAACGTGATTGAAACCTCAGAAGAGTACATCCTTAACTGCACCATGTAATACCCTGAATATATACATAACTCTGAACCTATTTTTCTAGTTAATCACATGATCGCCGTGCTATTCAGTGCCGAGCACACCGAAATCATTTAAAAGGTATTTTTCAATGCCTCGTCTTGGGACCGAACCCATGACCTTTTGTGTGGCGTTCTCCGAGGCCGGGCAATGGTTCGTATTTACATTTATATAGTATAGACTGCCAGTTAGTTCAGTTATAATGCCACAATGGAGAAATAGATAGAGAACCAAGATGGCGGGATTTTAGAAAGAGAGGGAAAAAACCCAATCCTAATCGTGTACATGTAATAAATGAAATAAGCATAAATCTCGTGCATATGAAATGGAAACGAATTTAACTTGATATCATACATCGTCCTGCTTGAATGTGATGCTCTTTGGATGATTTTCCGTTCTATGTTTTCCAAACACTGGAATTGTTGCATGCCTCAAATTATATCGTATGTGAGCATTGTAGAATATTATATGTCAATAATTTAAACGTTCTTTAGCATTGCATTATATTTTTGTAACATTAATATATAGATTTCCCCTGTTTTATCAATGTGTCTTTCTTGTAAGATCGTTATTCCAATTGAATTACATTAATTGTTTTCCTAATTCTTCATTACTTAACCGTCGGAACCAACTATACTGCCGATACATTTATATAACCTCTTAGTTTTATGGTCTGGCTTAAGGTAAGACACATTAAGTTTTCCATGGAAAAATATAAACGTAGGCCCAACCACACAAACAATAATTTCCTTATTTTGTACGGTTAAAATAATAGCCACCTTTTCAGATGAAATATTATGTAAATAGCAGCCAAAGATGGGTGATTACAAATGACAAATTAAGAATTAGTTTTTGTAATCTCAAGCAAAACGATTACCTTTCTAATGACCGAAGAACCCACACTAGACCATAAGACACCTCCTGTTACAGAATCACGGCCACAAATCTGAGTTAACACTCTAACGATGTCTTCGTGGACAAAAGTGTCAAATTTGTATCGATGGTAGCCCGAGTTTATTAAAATTGTAAACCAAGTAAACGTTACTGTAATGTCATCTACATTATTTCTCTTAGCTGATGGTTACATAAGAGTTATCTCCCCTCCAACACATTTTATTTTATCACGCCAGCTGCTAACATTTTCAAAACAAGGTTACCGCGAGCGGTATATAATACGCCCGTCACACATTGAATGAGCAGTTGTTTGTATGATTGAAATATATGAAGTATTTGTGAGTAATTGATATTAAAAGAGAAATCATTCAACATAACTGGTAGATCAATGAGTGCAATACAACATCATGGAACGCATGCATCGCATTAATGAAACCAAGGGTAATAACTCGGATGGTCAGTAATTACGGTCGGATAATGGCGGTTATCGAACTTGTCCGAGGTTTCATGGTAATTAACCTTGTTGTGAAGTTTGAAGTTAATCCGTTAATAATTACTCGAGATATCGAGCGGACACTGTTTCGGCAAGTCCATAAAGGGGCATAACTCCACAAATTATGGTCGGATAATGGCGGTTATCGAACTTGTCCGAGGTTTCATGGTAATTAACCTTGTTGTGAAGTTTGAAGTTAATCCGTTAATAATTACTCGAGATATCGAGCGGACATCGTTTGCCCGCCCGCCCGCGTGATAACATAATACGTCCCCGTCTTCGACGGGCGTATAAAAATAAACAGGCTAACGCCGAATATACACATCATGTATATGATTAACACCCTTATGCATTGCACCAACGACAACTGAACCAATCATTAAGGGATTCTAAAAACCAAAAAAAAAAAAACATTTTAAAAGATTGAAGAACGATGTTAGCCACTCAGTATTCAAGACACAGGTATCTGAATCTTGTATATAAATATGTGGAAATATAAAATAGTTTTTCCTATCCTTCTTTATCCATTGCTCTATATTAAAACATATATATTTCTATATTTTATGACAAGTTTACATACCAGTGCAGATGCCTGTGTTGCGGGTTACCTGAGCTGCCCTCATCGGAGTAACAGCTTTTAGGTAAAGGTTATGAAGCTCTAAAAAAGCTACGTGTGACCCTCAGTGGGTACTACAGCTAGCAGTGTTAGTGAGGTTAAGCCCTCAGTACGAGCACATTATAGTAAGTAGTAAGAACTCATCTTGATTTCACAAACGTGAATAGTTTCCATATCAAACATAGTATATCGAAAAAATCGATGGAGTTCAAAGAAGTGGCTGAATTGAAAAATCTTTCATAGCCGCCGTTAGCCTAAATTAACCAACGCTATATCGTACAGGAGACAGCGAGGAGATTTGATAGAATTTTATAAATTAATCCATGGAAAATACGACCGCAATGTCACTGTTCTCTAAGTAATGGAAAGATGTTTCTAAACGATCAGGGAAACAGAGGAAATTCTTCGAAAATATACCCCAACAGTGTGCAATTATGAAGAGGAAAAATAGTTTTTTTTACGAAGAACTGCAAATGTGTGGAATAACTTGATATATACTGCATGAGTTCAAAGCTCAAACATAAGTAGGTTCTAGTAGATATATACATGCATTTGTTAAAATCAAAAACCACAATAACTTTGAAGCCACATTTACAATTTATATATTTAAGGAATGATTTTTATTTTTTTAACATTTATGAGGTCATAACAACAATGGGTTTATGGACATATTGAATGAATCGCGTTACTTCATGTAAAATATGTCCAAAAACCCATTGTTGTTATGACCTCATAAATGTTGAAAAAATAAAAATCATTCCTTATATTTACATTGACGAATCCTTTCAGTCGATCGATATAACAACGAATAAAACAAATAAACAGGGTTTGTTCCTGCTTATACACGGGTGCAACGCAGTGGCGAGAACAGTGTTTTTCGCGGGGAAATGTGACACTATCGTGAGAGAACTTAGCAACCGTCAACAACAATAACACAACAAAATGTAGTTCCATATTCAATGTTTATTTGTAGCACAGGACACGTGAATATGTGGATATTTCACAAAGCACAGTTCAATAATATTTTAAGATGTAAGAATTAAGCATCTAGTTCGGTCGTTCCGAGTGAGTAGTTTTTGTAGTGTATTACTACGCAGTGTGATCAGGTTACTATCAGTTCCCACGTGCTGAGATTCTATTAACACCTGTGTTATGCATTTATGAATGTAATTTTTGTCAATGGGTCTAAGCATACAGAATGTAAATATCAACAAATAAATACCAAAAATACTGGGATAATGCACCTGTAACAACTTGATTCCCTAATATAACTGCTTGCATATTTTTTTCCTCCCCAAGGAATCTATAAATATTTGTCAGCTGGTAGCATCCTTGTTGTATAAGGTGATATCAGAGACAACTTTGATCATGAACAGACAAACCACACTTTGTCACCGAAAAGAAAGGAATTCTTCCAAAATTTGTTCTTGACTTGGCAAACCAACTTTGTTCTAGCCCCGAGAATATACATTGGGCAGGCCATGACATTACCTATGCACAAAGTTAGGTTAGCATTCATCAACTGAAATCGGAGAAGTCAAAAATGTTTCTGCCCTTTTAGAATTCCATAACCCACAGATCCTGAATGTCATATGAGGCTTAAATCCTCTCACTAGTACTTAGGAAATACAATGTAGTATTTAAAAGTTTTTAACAGATCACAATACTCTGTTTCTTTGATTTGTTCATTTTTCATTTCCTGTAACAAGTCATCAACAGTCCATGGGATTTTTAAATGAAAGTCGATATTTTTCTATTTCCCATAACAACTGTATTAATTGACAGCTGAATATTTCAATGTGATTCCCCTCCAATACCTTATTTTCCGGTTTTTCATTATCTATGTAACAACAATTTACTGTGGCACTAGAAGTTATCCTTTTGTATGGTAACTCGCTCTGATTTACTGAGGAACTCATAGGAGTTGTCTCCCTTTTGTATGGTAACTCGCTCTGATTTACCTAGGAACTCATAGGAGTTATTTCAATTTTGCATGGTTTCTCCTTTGATTCACCGAGGAACTCATATGAGTGGTCTCCCTTTTGTATGATTACTCGCTCTGATTTACCGAGGAACTCATAGGAGTTGTCTCCCTTTTGTATGGTAACTCGCTCTGATTTACTGAGGAACTTATAGGAGTTATTTCAATTTTGCATGGTTACTCGCTTTGATTCACCGAGGAACTCATGAGTGGTCTCACTTTTGTATGGTTACTCACTCAGATTTACTGAGGAAATCATAGGAGTTATCTCCTCTTTTGTATGGTTACTCGCTTTCATTTACCGAGGAACTCATAGAGTGATCTCCTTTTTGTATAGTAACTTGCTCTGATTTACTTAGGAACTCATAACAGTTATCTCCCTTTTGTATGATTACTCGCTCTTATTTACTGAGGAACTCATAAGATGTATCTCCCCTTTATATAGTTACTTGCTCTGATTTACCGAGGAACTCATATGAGTTATCTCCCTTTTGTATGGTTACTCGCTCTGATTTACTGAGGAACTCATAGGAATTATCTCCCTTTTGAATGATAACTCACTTTGATTTACCGAGGAACTCATATGAGTAATCTCCCTTTTGTATGGAAACTTACTCTGATTGACCAAGGAACTCATAGGAGTAATCTCCCTTTTGTATGGTTACTCGCTTTGATTTACAGAGGAACTCATATGAGTTATCTCCCTTTTGTAGGATTACTCGCTCTGATTTACTAAGGAACTCATAGGAATTATATCCCTTTTGTTATAGTTACTCGCTTTGATAAACTGGGGAACTCATAGGAGTAATCTCCCTTCTGTATGGTTACTCGCTCTGATTTACTGAGGAACTCATAAAAGTTATCTCCCTTTTGTATGGTTACTCGCTCTTATTTACTGAGGAATTCATAAGATTTATCCTCCCTTTATATAGTTACTTGCTCTGATTTACCGAGAAACTCATAGGAATTATCTCCCTTTTGAATGATTACTTGCTCTGATTTACCACGGAACTCATAGGAGCTATTTCCCTTTTGTATAGTTACTCGCTTTGATAAACTGGGGAACTCATAGGAGTTATCTCCCTTTTGTATGGTTACTCGCTCTGATTTACTGAGGAACTCATAGGAATTATCTCCCTTTTGAATGATAACTCGCTTTGATTTACCGAGGAACACATATGAGTAATCTCCCTTATGTATGGAAACTCACTCTGATTGACCAAGGAACTCATAGGAGTTATCTCCTCTTTTGTATGGTTACTTGCTTTGATTTACCAAGGAACTCATAGGAGTAATCTCCCTTTTGTATGGTTACTCGCTTTGATAAACTGAGGAACTCATAGGAGTTATTACCCTTTTGTATGGTTACTCGCTTTGATTTACAGAGGAACTCATATGAGTTATCTCCCTTTTTTAGGATTACTTGCTCTGATTTACCAAGGAACCCATAGGAGGTATTTCCCTTTTGTATAGTTACTCGCTTTGATAAACTGGGGAACTCATAGGAGTTATCTCCCTTTTGTATGGTTACTCGCTCTGATTTACTTAGGAACTCATAGGAATTATCTCCCTTTTGAATGATAACTCGCTTTGATTTACCGAGGAACTCATATGAGTAATCTCCCTTATGTATGGAAACTCACTCTGATTGACCAAGGAACTCATAGGAGTTATCTCCTCTTTTGTATGGTTACTTGCTTTGATTTACCAAGGAACTCATAGGAGTAATCTCCCTTTTGTATGGTTACTCGCTTTGATAAACTGAGGAACTCATAGGAGTTATTATCCTTTTGTATGGTTACTCGCTTTGATTTACAGAGGAACTCATATGAGTTATCTCCCTTTTGTAGGATTACTTGCTCTGATTTACCAAGGAACTCATAGGAGGTATTTCCCTTTTGTATAGTTACTCGCTTTGATAAACTGGGGAACTCATAGGAGTTATCTCCCTTTTGTATGGTTACTTGCTCTGATTTACTGAGGAACTCATATGAGTTATCTCCCTTTTGTATGGCTACTTGCTCTGATTTACCGAGGAACTCGTAAGTAATCTCCCTTTTGTATGGAAACTCACTCTGATTGACCAAGGAACACATAGGAGTTATTTCCCTTTTGTATGGTTACTTGCTTTGATTTACTGAGGAACTCATAGGAGTTATCTCCTCTTTTGTATGGTTCCTCGCTTTGATTAACTAAGGAACTCATAGGAGTAATCTCCCTTTTGTATGGAAACTCACTCTGATTAACCAAGGAACTCATAGGAGTAATCTCCCTTTTGTATGGTTACTCGCTTTAATAAACTGAGGAACTCATAGGAGTTATTACCCCTTTGTATGGTTACTCGCTCTGATTTACTTAGGAACTCATAGGAGTTATTTCCCTTTTGTATGGTTACTGGCGTTTTCTTTGTGTCAAGTTCACATGATGCATTTGTGGTAGCCTGAATTAATAGTTCTTTTTTTTTGATCATTTGAAAAATTAGTTAGTTAAAGTTAGAATACAAGACATAGTTTCTTTCATAAATTGTTTTATTTTCTGATGAAGGCACTAACCCATGAACAGCTCTTCCACAAGTATCCACAGCAACAAAAATAAAGGTCTAATCCATAATCTAGTTCACACCTGTCTGGCCTAGTCAACACATATGAGGTCTAGTCCACACTTGTGAGGTCTAGTCCACACTTGTGAGGGCTAGTCCACACTTGTGAGGTCTAGTCCACACATGTCTGGCCTTGTCCACACCTGTAAGGTCTAGTCAACACCTGTGAGGTAAAGTCAACATATGTGAGGTCTAGTCAACACCTGTGAGGTAAAGTCAACACATGTGAGGTCTATTCAACACCTGTATGGCCTAGTCCACACCTGTGAGGTCTAGTCCACACTTGTCTGGTGTAGTCCACACCTGTGAGGTCCAGTCCACACACCTGACAGGTAAATGATGGAATATATACCTAGACTTCACCTGATGGAGGTTGTTCTAAGAAAGACATACACCGTAGAAAAAGGGACCTATTTCCAAGGTCATTGAAAGAACTCACTATGATGATGGATTCAGGCAAGCTACAATTAATACAATACAGGACCTCTTACACCGTTTAGTCTACAATACATAATTATACAACTCAGAATCTGATCTTTTGAAAAAGAAAATCATCCAAACTCTGGTTTGTTTGTCTGAAACCCATGCTGTGTGATTGTGTGAATGTAGACAGAACTGTACCATGGACACTTGATTTACTGTATAGTGTCTTGCTGTCCAATGGAAGAAACAAGTAACTTTGATAACTATATTGCAGCCAAACATTAATTTCACAAAATCTGTAATTACTTCAGACTTAATTTGGTCCCAAAACTAATGAAGTTTAGTGTGTTGTGTATTACATGAAAACACTGTACCGTATGCATCCACCATTAAACCAATGCCTGATAACAGAGATACAAAACTAATCAATTACTTCAGTAAGCTTACTTTGATTAACAGTTTGTGCTGACCTCTCTAAGAAAGGTTAGATATATCTATGTAAATGTTTCAATAATTTGCACATATAAACTCATTCACCCCTGATTACACATTTGAACCCTTCCAATTCAAAGGTTGTAATAGTCCATCTTGAAATTTCAGGGGTGAATGAGCAAAGCTTCTGTTGTACTTATAAACAGCAAAGCATAGCAACAACGACTTCACAGGTGATTATTTTTTCATCAAATCAGAGTCTTTCAAGACAACAGACATGAAATAATGACAATATTGTAGAACATTTATGATAACACACACTGTCTCTCATCACTCAATGCTAAGTAACATGGTACAAACTACATATTGATCCCCAGGGGACCCGACAAAACAACGCGTGGCTATACTAGACACTTAAAGTGGAATGTTCCCAATGTTATCAACGACAAAAACTAAACAAAAAAACTACTGATTGATGGCTTATCTAATTTGACAGTGACCTCCAAGTAAAGGTTGTCAAGGATACACTACTAATCCAATGGCTGTCAAGTTGTGAGTTGACAGATTATTGTCGTTAGTGATACTCTGACGCAGCGCTCCTCTATTGTTATATACTAAATACAACACTACAACTGTTAACCAGATACCATTCCTACAAGCTATCTAAGCGGGAACTTTACAACATTTATGTCTCATGTTATTTCATATTTTGACGCAATTTCTACTGAAAAAATAATATTTTAGCTAATATACATAATTTCTATATATTAAATAACATAAATATCCAACAATATAAGTAGCAGACCTTTGTAAAAACTATCACGCTATGGAATGACTTGTTGGGAATGATGGATAAAGCTCACTGGAATGTTAGGCTGTACTGGGAGATACCTAATGTATTACTGTAAGTCCTGGCCGTGGACAATCTTACTGTTTGTGACAGAGATGTAATACAGTTCCTGGACGTGGACAATCTTACTGTTTGTGACAGAGATTTCATACAGTTCCTGGCCGTGGACAATCTTCCTGTTTGTGACAGAGATGTAATACAGTTCCTGGACGTGGACAATCTTACTGTTTGTGACAGAGATTTCATACAGTTCCTGGCCGTGGACAATCTTACTGTTTGTGACAGCGATGTCATACAGTTCCTGGCCGTGGACATTCTTACTGTGTGTGACAGAGATGTAATACAGTTCCTGGCCGTGGACATTCTTACTGTTTGTGACAGAGATTTAATGCAGTTCCTGGCCGTGGACAATCTTACTGTTTGTGTCAGAGATGTAATACAGTTACTGGCCGTGGACAATCTTACTGTTTGTGACAGCGATGTCATACAGTTCCTGGCCGTGGACATTCTTACTGTGTGTGACAGAGATGTAATACAGTTCCTGGCCGTGGACATTCTTACTGTGTGTGACAGAGATGTAATACAGTTCCTGGCCGTGGACATTCTTACTGTGTGTGACAGAGATGTAATACAGTTCCTGGCCGTGGACAATCTTACTTTTTGTGACAGAGATGTCATACAGTTCCTGGCCGTGGACAATCTTACTGTTTGTGTCACAGATGTAATACAGTTCCTGGCCGTGGACAATCTTACTGTTTGTGTCAGAGATGTAATACAGTTCCTGGCCGTGGACAATCTTACTGTTTGTGACAGAGATGTAATACAGTTCCTGGCCGTGGACAATCTTACTGTTTGTGACAGAGATGTAATACAGTTAATGGAAGCTGTATCTGTTTTTAAATTGTAAACATTCTCGTATTTCAGCATTCTGTTGCACATCTAACCAATTAGTGCCAACAATGTATACAGGGAATTTTTCACTGGATTACGTTTTGCAATTTTGCCCTCTGAAATGAGGGCAAATTTATCAAAACAGTGATCAGTAGCTACTATTTATAGCAATATACTCCTAGTCATGTCACAATTGACACTCAGCGGAAATACTTTTGGATAGAGTAATACATAGATCAGTGTAACAAGGAGTCGATTAGGTTTCTTGTAAATATGGGTTACAAGTTAAAGTAATTGAGACCTAACTAAATATACACAGTGTTTCTTTAATCTAATAAGGTATTTGGTGTTTTTTGAGGAGCAGACAGTAAACATAGAAGAATTTGGCAGTTACTGATTTTGACCATTGGCTAAATTAAAGATAATACTGTGTCTCATACATATAACATGTTTTGTTCACGTCTCAGATAAAACGACACGGACAAATTATCACAATCTGCAATATCTGTCACCATTGAGGACAACAACATTTTCTTCTCCACAAGGTTAAATTCTAAAACATCAAAAGTTTTTGAATTGTTCCATGCTGAAATGACAGAAAAAAGATACAGGTGAAATATTTCATTTAACAACTGAAAGATTTATTAATCTGTTTGGTTCTGTCTCTGGCAGTAAAATTTACAACATTATCATAACCTAACTAATTGACTAAACTAACCATATATCCAGCTTCTAATTTATTAACTTTAATTCCAGTTCTTAAAGAAATAATCTATGTTCCATTTCTAATGAAATACTAAAATGTCCATCAATAATTTATCATGGTTCATGTTTCCTCCTTAAAATGAAAACAGTACATGTACATGTTCTGGAACGTAGAAGTGATGCCAGCCAGTACATGTTCTGGAACGTAGAAGTGATACCAGCCAGTACATGTACAAGTTCTGGAACGTAGAAGTGATACCAGCCAGTACATGTTCTGGAACGTAGAAGTGATGCCAGCCAGTTCATGTTCTGGAACGTAGAAGTGATACCAGCCAGTACATGTACATGTTCTGGAACGTAGAAGTGATGCCAGCCAGTTCATGTTCTGGAACGTAGAAGTGATACCAGCCAGTACATGTACATGTTCTGGAACGTAGAAGTGATCCCAGCCAGTACATGGTTTGGAACATAGAAGTGATCCCAGCCAGTACATGGTTTGGAAGGTAGAAGTGATACCAGCCAGTACATGTTCTGGAACGTAGAAGTGATGCCAGCCAGTTCATGTTCTGGAACGTAGAAGTGATACCAGCCAGTACATGTTTTGGAACGTAGAAGTGATGCCAGCCAGTACATGTTCTGCAACGTAGAAGTGATATCAGCCAGTACATGTTCTGGAACGTAGAAGTGATCCCAGCCAGTACATGTTCTGGAACGTAGAAGTGATCCCAGCCAGTACATGGTTTGCAACGTAGAAGTGATACCAGCCAGTACATGGTTTGGAACATAGAAGTGATCCCAGCCAGTACATGGTTTGGAACGTAAAAGTGATACCAGCCAGTACATGGTTTGGAACATAGAAGTGATCCCAGCCAGTACATGGTTTGGAACGTAAAAGTGATACCAGCCAGTACATGGTTTGGAAGGTAGAAGTGATACCAGCCAGTACATGTTCTGGAACGTAGAAGTGATATCAGCCAGTACATGTTCTGGAACGTAGAAGTGATACCAGCCAGTACATGGTTTGGAACGTAGAAGTGATGCCAGCCAGTACATGGTTTGGAATGATTTTTATTTACAATTGTAGCCATCAATGTCTTGTGCCTATTGGTAAGTTTATCATTCAGGAAAATATCTTGTGTGATTTCTGCGACGATAAGATTTCAGCGATGATCAGATTTCTGAGACGATAAGATTTCAGATTTCAGCGATGATAGAATGAATACATACTTGTTTGAAATGACACTAATACAATTGGCATCTAATACTAATGGTAAATAAAACTCCAACCCTACTACCATGTCTAACATAAAACCCCAGTTTTACATCAAGATGTCTCGTCCCTCCAAATGATATGTGATAACCAATCTCACAGACAAATATTCAGCAGATTCCCTCGGCGGTCAAACCTCGGAGAACCACAGCTACTTTGGTTTCTACGTCCAGGCCACATCTATCTGTGAGATACAGCTGCTGACATGGGACAGAAAGTCAGTTTAGATACACATTGTAGTTATCATAAACATTTGAAATATCGTTCAAAATTCTGTAACATAGTACTAGACATCTTACCAGATCTTTGTTGTTTTATTGCAACGTTTATTCAACCTATGACCTTTGTTCTGAATGAATATTCTTAAGATTAAGAAATATTTATGCTTGATAGTTTCTTTGGTAAAAAGTGACAGTCTTTGGTCACATGTCTGATCAGTTATATACAGGTACAATGTTCTTTGGTTTCCTCCCACCTAAAGAACCCTGCCCACTACTAGCCGAGCCTACAAGGGTGATTAATATAAGTTGATAAAACTAGTTTGAAATAGTAATCTGTAATCTGGTTTGAATACGGATGTACTATAGGAATTGGAGCTCGCTTACATTAACAGTAATCTGAAAAACTTGTTTATTCTGGACTTTAAAGAGATTTTCATAGAAACCAAAGTGTGTGGACTAGCAAGGTTCCACTGTAGAGGATTACAAGTAATCCATACACACAACATGTTGGATGACCAATAAAAAAGGTCAATGTAAAAAGGGTTTATTACAAGCATATAAAACTGTTCCCACAAGATATACAGTCCAACTATGATATAAGCATTATATTTCAGTCCCTTACAATAAAAATAGAATGTTCCAGATCAACTGGAAATGTGAATTAACATTGATACATAGGGGTGACACACTCACATTTTCCCCGCGACACACTACATCGGTTTTGGCAGCCATATGTACACAGCAATGTATCAAAATAGGTATTCTATACACTTTGTTGATTTTATGTACAAACAATTAACATTTAACAAATCACATCATCTCATTAAATTTGAACAACACAATTATCAATTAATATCATTATTTCATTAAAGGGGGGTAACTCTCAAATGCAGTAAATCATTCAATGGTCACAGACCACAACTCATAAAACAAAATAATTCATTTGTGAATAAAATGGATTTCTAAATCTTTTGTTTATATAAAACATAACATGTGACTTTAAAACACTTAAAAATCACATATAGATAATTGAGCAAGGGTGAACAGATATTAAAAGATTTCCTTACTAATCATTAAGCCATTTCAACATATCTGAACAATTCAATTTTGTGATAAAAAGCAAGAATTACAACCACTTTTATCTCTACAATGAGGCTTAATTTCATCTTGCTTTATCTATTGAAACCAACTGACCCAGATACTGTCCAAATAAAACTAAGGTCAAAGGTTAAATTTTAGCAGGGCAAAGGTCATATCACTGTAGAAAATGGAGTTCACAGGTCATTCACTTCAATGTATGTAACTCTCAACAATACACATTTTAAATGTACTGTTATCAAGGGTCAAAGGAGATTTTCTTTTTAATGTAAGTTCTGAGGGCGTAACATGTATAATGGAATGCAGCCGAAAGAAACCTTTTCCACCAGATTACTGGGCCACCTACTGGGTAGTAATCAAGGCTTTTAGTGACATTTTATCAACTGGTAACACTGAAATGGTATAGAACACAGACAGAAGTTCAAATTGTAATACCAAGCGGTTTGTCTTTCATTTTCAGAGATCGATTTTCGGAACTTGATTTTTTTTTCCCAAAATTTTTTGGTGCGCAAAATATTAGAGTAGAAGCTTTTTTGGTGATTTTCAGCCTCAAAAAGTGCCTGCGCAAATTACACAGGTGTGCAAATTACATGGGTTTTTACGGTAGTTATTTTAAAGGTCAAATTTTGACAGTTAATTAATCTGTAGTTCAAATTGCAACAGTTATTCTTTAGATAAAATTATAACAGCTATTCTGAATGTCTGATTGGCAGTTTTTGCCACATTTTAAACACTTCCATATTTGGTGTTCTAGTTTCTATTAGTGGCTCTGTCACTGTGGTGACCCACAACTTGAATGTTTCTAAGCCATCTAATATACCAAATGGAGAACCTACTTTTCTGCAGTCAAACCATTTTGTCTAATGTGTAAGTAATTCATTTTTGAACACAGATATATCACAAATTCGTTTCTATAGGAATAACCAGAAAAATGAAAGGATACATGTAAAAGATATTCAGTATATAACCATTACATTGGTCAGAGGGGTTCACCTTGAATCTAGAATCCATAAAAAAAGTCTGAAACATTCTAACAGAAATGACCTGATAAAGGGAAGCTTCCCTGGTCCATTACAACAGGACATCACATACAGGTTGTTACAGCGGACATCACATCCACATTAAAAATGGAGGTTATCCATTCTCAAAAGCCATCCACATTCAATATGGTGGCCATCCACATACAAAATGGCAGCAATCCACCCATCTGGGTGTTGGGCTGCGCGGAATGATTGGTCCTTGGAACGTTGTGTCATAGTTGTGATCACAGGTATGATATTATAAAATACTTTCCTCAGGATCTCTATAAAAATAACATCTCTTGCATAGAAAAATAACAATTCTGTAAACTGTATCAAATGGTAACATAACAATGATTTGCCTAGGCTTCGTCCCGTATAATGCCATTAGGAGGCTTCTTCTTCCACTGCCAGAGTTGTCGGTCGATCCCTGTACACGTCCGCATCAGTAGCTTCTGTCCATCCACCGACACCTCCATACACTTCTGCGTGTTAGCGTGGAGAATTGTATTGTCCTACAACAACAAATTCCTCTGTATATAAATTCTATATTTATACAATTGTAACAATAAACTCATATGATGCACAATATACAATCCAGTTCAGTAATGTTACAATTTTATTATCCTGTAAAGATACTTATTTTAGCCAATTACAGATCAGCACGTTGATCAGTAGCACACCCACAAAATGAGTGCTTACATAAGACTACCGCTAAAATATGTACAAACAAATATTCTAAATATGTTGCGTGGATGTATGATTTTTTTAGTATAATTTTTAGACTGATGGTGAATTTTAGATAGAAACACTAATATGTATGCCAAATTTAACCAGGTGTAATCGTATCAGTAGGGCCCTAAAGACGAAGTCAGGAATGTGTTTAGTTATAGTAGGACTCTTTACTGCTACAATTAGCTATTTTATTCAAAGCAATAAAAGTAAAACCATAGTCAGACAGATTTCTACAATAAAAATATTCCTTATTGATGAAACAGCAGCAAACGCATTTAACATGAAACATTCCCTTATAACGGAAGTTCCTATTATAAACAGATCTGAAGGATTTAACAAGGTCTGGCTAGCATACCAATAAAGGCAACACTCATCCTTGTTACACTCATCAATAAGATATACACCAACTTGAAGATGATAAAGATTTATCACTAATGGTAGCAGAGACCTTTGGTATCCTTGTGATTGTAACTATAGCTATTTAAAACAAGTAATGTAAAGCTTTATAAGAAAAGTAAGTTTTATCAACCCAGCAGAATTTAATTGTACAGAAATTGATTTTCTACTTATAGTAGCTGAGACCTTGACCTTTGGACTTAAAAATCAATTGAAGTAAAGTGCTTGGGGCAAACGAATGCTGTGAGATGTCAGAGATAGATTAACTCCACCTATTGTTTAGAATCCAGACGATCGGGCAGCGGGATGAACAGATGAACATCATTACGATATTCCTGCTGTTTTTTTATTGACGGCAGATAGTAAGAGCCGCTCATGTTACCATTGTCATCAACACTAACCTCCCTATACACCCACTCCTGTCATCAACACTCACCTCCCTATACTCCCACTCCTGTCATCAACACTCCCCTCCCTTTACACCTACTCCTGTCATCAACACTCCCCTCCCTATACACCAACTCCTGTCATCAATACTCACCTCCCTATACACCCACTCCTGTCAACAACACTCACCTCCCTATACACCCACTCCTGTCACCAACACTCACCTCCCTATACACCCACTCCTGTCATCAATCCTCACCTCCCTATACACCCACTCCTGTCATCAACACGCTCCTCCCTATACACCCACTCCTGTCATCAACACGCTCCTCCCTATACACCCACTCCTGTCATCAACACCCACCGCCCTATACACCCACTCCTGTCATCAATACACCCCTCCCTATACACCTACTCCTGTCATCAACACTCACCTCCCTATACACACACTCCTGTCATCAACACTCACCTCCCTATACATCCACTCCTGTCATCAATATTCACCTCCCTATACACACACTCCTGTCATCAACACTCACCTCCCTATACACCAACTCCTGTCATCAATACTCACATCCCTATACACCCACTCCTGTCATCAACACTCACCGCCCTATACACCCACTCCTGTCATCAATACACACCTCCCTATACCCCTACTCCTGTCATCAACACTCACCTCCCTATACACACACTCCTGTCATCAACACTCACCTCCCTATACACCCACTCCTGTCATCAATACTCACCTCCCTATACACCCACTCCTGGTTACCCTTCTGGCTGTGACAGGGGTAGATAATCACGCTTTCACCACCGGAGAAGTCCAGACAACCGTCGTCACGGCGTATCTCTCCACCCTTACTCAGCATCCAGTACTATCACCAACAAAATGGTACAATTATTCATCTTTAGTTTTATTTAATATTCTATTGTTAATATCAAATATAAATTCTAATTCATAATTATTACAACTTATAATGTTCTGTAGACAAGCAACTGTAAGTATACTTTGTGTTATTTAAGTAACACTATACTTCATCAGCCCCCTGTAAACACATTATCTATTTAAGTAACATCCTAATTATCTGGTTGCCCCCCTGGTTACAACCAACATCTTATAAGAACACAATCTTATTAGAACTCATGCTGCACACCTACCACGTTACCCTGGTTACCCCTGGTTAAGACTAACATTCTTAATTAGAACACATGCTGCACACTTACCCGGTTATCCCTGGTTATGACCAACATGTTATAAGAACACAATCTTATAAGAACATGTGCTGTACACCTACCTGGTTACCCCTGGTTACGACCAACATGTTATAAGAACACGTACATGCTGCACACCTACCTGGTTGCTCCTGGTTACCCCTGGTTACAACCAACATGTTATAAGAACAATGCTGCACACCTACCTGGTTATCCCTGGTTACAACCAATATGTTATTAGAACACATGCTGCACACCTACCTGGTTACCCCTTGTTACCCCTGGTTACAACCAACATGTTATAAGAACAATGCTGCACCCCTACCTGGTTATCCCTGGTTACCCCTGGTTACCACCAACATGTTATAAGAACACATGCTGCACTCCTACCTGGTTATCCCTGGTTACCCCTGGTTACAAACAATATGTTTTTAGAACACATGCTGCACACCTACCTGGATACCCCTTGTTACCCCTGGTTACAACCAACATGTTATAAGAACAATGCTGCACACCTACCTTGTTATCCCTGGTTACAACCAATATGTTAATAGAACACATGCTGCACACCTACCTGGATACCCCTTGTTACCCCTGGTTACAACCAACATGTTATAAGAACAATGCTGCACACCTTCCTGGTTATCCCTGGTTACCCCTGGTTACTACCAACATGTTATAAGAACAATGCTGCACACCTACCTGGTTACCCCTGGTTACAAACAATATGTTATTAGAACACATGCTGCACACCTACCTGGTTACCCCCCTGGTTGTGACAGGGCCACATGTTGACAGGTTTGTGGAAGTTGTGAGAATCCACTGAGCTATCCACACACATTGGCTTGGCCTTGTTACGTATCTACAATATCATACAGGGTGTTTGATCAGATAACATGTCACATCAAGTTTTATAGACGTTGAAACCATTCCACTTCTGATTGGACTTTTTTGTTAGAGATGTTTATGGATCATTCAAGAAGTAAAAGCAACATTTCAATCAACAATATTGTATTTTACCAATTATACCATACTCAACCCAGTAACTCAGTATACCCAGAAAGCACAAAATGGATGGGTTGCTTATTAGTACAATTTATTTTAGTGTAGAAAATCAAGAAGTCAATTCAAGCAATTTAAAAGATGAGTGTGTAAAGGAAACATTACAATGACATCACTAATGGTGATAAGGTAATCCAAACATGACCATCAATGTGTATGATTGGAGTATTGTCTCAAAGACATCAGGAGAATTAGTGGCACCTCATAAAAGGCTGGGGGAGGGGTGCTTACAGATTCATGAGCACTTATTTGTACAAATATGGTAAACTGGGAGGTGGGGATCAGTCAAAGGCCTGTTTATGATTCTAACTCCAGCAAGGGAGTATTTTTAGATATGACCATCTTCTGTGGTTTCTATAATAAGTGGTGAACTTGTTACATGTACTAAGTAAGGATCTAGTACTGCTGTAAGGTAAGTGTTTCATACGATTGTAATCCCTACCGAAAATTTGTGCCGGTTAAATACAGTGCCTCTGAGTAACTTAAATAAGTAATTGTTGACATATTCTATACTGAATGAAATCTACAGATATTGAACTTTAGAAAAATGTGTGGTTTTAGTAGATTTTAATATGTGATGGCAGATTGATATGGGGTCAAATGTCAGGGGGTGTTCCCGTCCCACTTCACCGGTTTGGCTTGTAAACTTCTGGTTGTCAAAAGTAGACGCCTGTAGTGCTCTAACATGCCACTAAACTCTAAAATGCCTTTTGAAGCCTTTGTCAGGTATGTATCTGTGAATCTAGACAGTTGTCACTAGTGTTGAACTTCAAATATTTACGCTATTAGCTCAAAAGCTTAGTAATAACATATAGTAAATGATTTAGTTGTGCGAGTCCTGTAAAATTTATACATGTGTTTTGTTTACAATTTCTATGTACAAATGCCTGCAAAGTGCACAACGTTTCAATGTTTATACTACACTCTTGTAGCTTTGGTAATAGTAGAGTGTAATCTATGAGAAAATGGCAGCACATAACTTACCTCCCCTGATGCCACAGCTTCCCCAGGTACAAAAAGGTCAGGGTAAATATTTTTCACGAACCAGTCAAATGGTTTGCAGTTTAATTTCTTTCTCAGAGCCTTCCTCTCTGAAACGTCTCCATATTCGCCCTGCAGACAGACATTGAATATATTACAGGTATACCCACGATACCGTGAGATTAAATTGTTAATCAGACATTGATGTGTATTAGATCCTCGGGTCTGTCCTAAACAGACAATTTTTACAATGTGTTACTGTAGAGGTATGGGGTGTAAGGAATCTTGATTTGAAGTATATGATACTACTTTTTATGTGCATATCGAATATATATCCTTTTTTATCAAGGGAACAAATACAAAGTTAACTAGATTTGATGCAGATCAAAACACGGGATTTCCAACAGGAAAATGATCAAAGATATGTTCTCGAACTGACGACCGCTTTTAAATGTTTCTCTTCGCTTCCCTTTGCTTCCCTTCTCTGACAAACCTATTTTGTAGGTTTCACTTGGTGTATTGGCCTGCATCACTTACTGGTCACCGAAAACAAACATTTAAACATACAGTGAGTTAATTGTTCCTGGACATAGTGAAGCTGACTATCATGCCTAGTAAGTTTGGAAGATGTACCTTGTTTGTGGATAAGGGCAATAAGACCACAGTAAGGAGACAGTCTCTACGTAGTTTGAATGTTCTGTAACGGGTTATTGCCCTTTGAACGTGTGCTAGTCTACAGTAGCTGACTGAGTAGTGTAGTGGGGGATTCCCAGAGTGCTGTTGTATAGGAATAAAGTTCGTAAATGCCGTCATATGGTCCGTCCACTATGTACGTCAGGACGATTAATTGAAACCATGTTTGTTTCTCTATCGGTTGGGTTTGCCACGCCAAAGAAAGGTGATGTTTACCCACCGCAGGAGAGGTGTAAACTGTCCACATTTTTATTAAGATTGATATAAATCAAAGTACTGAGAGTACTGAAAGCACTTGATAATCGCACAAAAATGACAAATGGAAATCCCTAATAACAAAGTGGTATATCTTCGTCATTTTTGATGCTATGACCTTGAAACTTTGGAAATACCTTGAATAGACCTTGCTCTTTAATATTTAAAAACAAAATGAACTGATTTTATGATTTTTATTTTTGACCTATATTTGACCCCATAACGAGGCTTTGAACTTGAAATTCTCTGATAACATGTCACGGAAAAAAGTTAGCCCCGACTAAGCTCTACCAGAAGTTTGAAGCGTTCATGCAGTACAACAAAAGCTTTCGAAGTTATCGTCGTTCGAAAAACGTTTTTAAAAAACTCCATTTTTAGATCTGTGACCTTGACCTTTGACATTATGATCATGAATTTGTTCGCAATGCCATGTGTTTCTTGTCCTCTAATACGTACTGAAATATGAACGTTGTATCTTTATTCGTACTTGAGATAGAGTGTCGACAAGATGATTCGACCCCTGTGGCCTTAAATGTAGGTCAAGGACAACGATAACCCAAAACTTTTATAGGAAAGCCTACATACTATGAATGTAGCAAATATCAACTCTGTATGTGTCTGAATGAAGGAGAAGAAGCGTTTTGAGGAAAATGCTGGAAATTTTGAATTTTGGCGGGAAAACGAATTTTTCAAAGTGGCATATCTTCGTCATTTTTGAAGCTATGACTTTGAAATTTTTCACGTATACCGTCATTAGAACATGCCCTTTAAGATGAAATAAAAATATAACTCAATTTGAGATTTTTATTTTTGACCTATATTTGACCCCATAGCGAGGCTTTTAACTTGACATATTCTCTGAAAGCATGCCATAGGGAAAAGTTAGCCCAGACCAAGATCTACAAGATCCACATAACGTTCATGCAGAACAACGAACGCTTATTAAGTTATGATCGTTCTAAAAATGTTTTAAAAAATCGTATTTTAGGTCTGTGACCTTGACCTTTGATATTATGATCATGAATTTGTTCGCACCGTATGTTTCAGTTGTACGCTACCACATACTGAAATATGAACGTGACATCTTAATTTGTTCTTGAGATAGAGTGTCCACAAGAATTCTGGAAATAAGAATAAGAATAATAATAATAAGAAAAACCTAACAATAACAATAGGTATTTCCATCCGAAATGGAAATCCCTAATAATTCCGCTCACTTAAACTACCACATTGGTGACATTTCTGTTATTAAAACTACCACATTGGTGACATTTCTGTTATTAAAACTACCACATTATTGATGTTTCTATACTTACTAGATCATTGTTAAATCGTTCATAATAATAGTTTTTGTAGTCGTCCATCCAGACCTCGGCCAATCGGATTGAGTTTTTCTTCACCACATTGACCCCTGACCTCCACTTGTATGGACTGCGTTTCCTGAAGATGTGACCAACATGTGAACAGGGGATGATCTCCAAGGTCCCTCCACACATCCACACCTGGTTAAGAGGTCAAAGGTCAATTAGACATCACAAAGTTCAAAACCTTAATATGTTGGGTGAATACATTATTAAACAAGTCCAGGAGTTTCAAGGTCAATTGTGACCTTGAAGCAGGATAGTGACCTTTAGTCTTTCCTGAATGACGAGAAAGATGTCATGCACATTTTTCAATTTATATTTTTAATAGAAATCTTAAAAGAATTAACTTATGATGATGCCAATACAACTGTAATGGCACAAATTTCAGGAAGAATACAAGTATTAAGGACTATAAAAATTATACCTGTAGAATTCAGGGCTCTCTTCCCCATTCTCTGCTTAGTCACATTGGAAAATATACATTGACTGTCTACCCAATAAAAACACTGGAGGTCTCCTCCTTGCTGTTCTCAATTGCTATGGTACAGAGTTGTAATACAGATAACCAGGGCAAACCTGTGTATATAGGTCAGCCCAGACCATCTTTATATTCTATTGTGTCCTCATGAAAAGCTCAGACACGCAAGACCTGGTAAATTGGTCAAATTGTCTCCTCTCATGCTAAAGGCTGTGTTATAAGAAATGTCAGACAAATATGTGTATTACCACTGAGTGGAACTATAAAAATGGCTGCCGTACCCCCTGGGGCCACGGGTAAGGACCTGTGACCTCTCGACATGCGGTCGTAAATATTTCCACAAATTTAGTATGACGTGTGCTTTCAGTCCCTGTGTTACAGTAAAACCAACCACAAGAAACATTCTCTACTTCTCATTGGGCAATTGTGTTTATTCTTGTTTGGTCGCTACGGTAACATATCCCATTCGCTGCCGTAAAACTGCTCCATTGAATTCAAGAAAAATCTGCATTGCATGTGTATGTTGAAGAAAGATGGTCATTATTCTGTAAAATAGATCTCATTCAAAGACAAAGTTTCACTAATTTCTTTCTGCTTCTAAATTGTCCCTTGTCATGATGCATAAAACAGCCCCTTCAATTTCTTCTGTTGGCACAGCAGACAAGTTTTTTTTAGATCTAAATATACACTCTAGGAGCTGACAACAATCTGAATTGAACACTGTCTGCAGAAATGTTGAAAAATCCCATCAAGTTAAGGTTGTCAAGCATAATTCTTTGAAATTTTGGGAGATTTTAAAACAAATTTTCCCATATATTTTGATGTGAGGACAGAATCAACCAAAGCCGACACGAACTGAACGACACACTGGTAAAGCATACTTATTTTATCGCACTCCAAAGTTTACTGCATTACGGAAATAGAAAACAATGTACAGGAACTTGAATTGGAGTGCCCATGGTTGAGTGCCATATCTAAAGTGCAAATAGTGTTAGGATAAGATTCTGCTGAAATATGTATGCTTACAGTATTCCAAAAATACAATGTACATGTGATCTGAAGGATTGAAATTCCTTTATCAAGTAAACCATACACCCCAATAAAGACGATGTACATGTGATCTGAAGGATTGTAATTCCTTTATCAAGTAAACCATACACCCCAAAAACACAATGTACATGTGATCTGAAGGATTGTAATTAGGGGCCCCGTATCGGAGATACGGGTGCCCTATAGTAATCACTCTGTCTGTCTGTCTGTCTGTCTGTCTGTCCACAAATTTTGTTCCTGGCTGATATCTTTAATATTTATTGACCGATGTACATGAAACTTGGTCAAGATGTTCAGTTCATAAAAATACACATTGAGGTAAAAAGTCAAGGTCAAAGGTCAAGGTCAAATTTTACATTTTTTCACTGATGAACATTTTGTTATGACATTATGAAGCAAAGTTGATCAGAATTAAACCAGGATTCAACTGACAAAAGGTCAAGGTCATCGGGTCAGGGGTCAAGGTCAAATTTTGTAGCTTTTAACTAGTGAACATTTCGCTATGACATTATGAAGCAAAGTTGTTCGGAATTAAACAAAGAGACACACTGAGGTAAAAAGTTGAGGTCAAAGGTCAAGGTCAAATTTTGCATCTTTTCACTGATGAACATTTTGTTATGACATGATGAAGCAAAGTTTATCAGAATTAAACAATGAGTCAACTGACCAAAGGTCAAGGTCAAGGTCATTGGGTCAAAGGTCAATGTTAAATTTTGTAACTTTTCACTGGTGAACATTTCGCTATGACACTTTGAAGCAATGTTGTTCAGAATTAAACAAGGAGTCAATTGACCAAAGGTCAAGGTCACGGTTAAAATTTTGTACCTTTTCCCTGATGAACATTTTGTTATGACATTATGAAGCAATGTTGTTCAGAACTTAACACAGAGTCAACTGACCTTAGTTCAAGGTTACTGGGTCCAAAGGGTCAAGGTCAAGTTTTGTATTTTTTACTGATGAACATTTTGTTATGATATTAAGAAGCAAAGTTGGTCAGAATTAAAGAATAAGTCAACTGACCAAAGATCAGGGTCACTGGGTTAATGGTCAAGGTCATTTGGGTCCAAAGGTCAAAGACAAAGTGGATCTCTGACTTTGACCCTGGCTCTTGATGGAGAAGGTATATAAGGTGAAATAAAACAAATCAAAGCTAACAAATGAGTATTGCACCGGTAATTACATTTCTGTTAGCCCAGCAAATATGGAGGTGGAAGGAAACACATCACATCATAGTACATGTAAAATGTATATTTTGCTTCCTTGCGATTCTTTTTGAAGTCCAAATGTCAAACGTCAAGCTCAGCTATATGGGCAGATTGNCTTTTAACAAGTAAACCATACACCCCAAAAACACAATGTACATGTGATCTGAAGGATTGTAATTCTTTTAACAAGTAAACCATACACCCCAATAAAGACAAAAGTAATTCCTTTAACAAGTAAACCATACACCCCAATAAAGACAATAGTGATTCCTTTAACAAGTAAACCATACACCCCAATACAGACAACAGTAATTCCTTTAACAAGTAAACCATACCCCCCAAAAAAGACAATAGTAATTCCTTTAACAAGAAAACCATACACCCCAATACAGACAATAGTTATTTCTTTAACAAGTAAACCATACACCTCAAGAAAGACAATAAAGACAGTAAGGTGCGTAGCTTTTATGACACTGGTAGGATATTACCTTCTGGCGATACAGGTAGTCTCACTTATGTCATTTCTTTTAACAATGAATATTTTTTAAGATAAATGGGGTATCCATATCCTATCATCCAAGATATGTGATAAATCTTAAGCAACCAAATACTATGTATATCCTAATTGTATTAATTGTATATCTATGTACTGTAAAGCACTTTAGAGTGGCTTATGTTAGCTAGATAGGGCGCTATATCAAATACACCCCAATAAAGACAATAGTAATTCCTCTAACAAGTAAACCATACACCCCCATAAAGACAATAGTAATTCCTTTAACAAGTAACCATACACCCCAATAAAGACAATAGGAATTCCTTTAACAAGTAAACCATACACCCCCATAAAGACAATAGTAATTCCTTTAACAAGTAAACCATGCACCCCCATAAAGACAATAGTAATTCCTTTAACAAGTAACCATACACCCCAATAAAGACAATAATAATTCCTTTAACAAGTAAACCTTTCACCCCAATAAACACAACAGTAATTCCTTAAACAAGTAACCATACACCCCAATAAAGACAATAGTAACTCCTTTAACAAGTAAACCATACACCCCCATAAAGACAATAGTAATTCCTTTAACAAGTAAACCATACCCCCCAAAAAAGACAATAGTAATTCCTTTAACAAGAAAACCATACACCCCAATAAAGACAATAGTAATTCTTTTAACAAGTTAACCATACACCCCAATACAGACAATAGTAATTCCTTTAACAAGTAAACCATACATCCCAATAAAGACAATAGTAATTCCTTTAACAAGAAAACCATACACCCCAATAAAGACAATAGTAATTCCTCTAACAAGTAAACCATACACCCCCATAAAGACAATAGTAATTCCTTTAACAAGTAACCATACACCCCAATAAAGACAATAATAATTCCTTTAACAAGTAAACCTTTCACCCCAATAAACACAACAGTAATTCCTTAAACAAGTAACCATACACCCCAATAAAAACAATAGTAATTCCTTTAACAAGTAAACCATACCCCCCAATAAAGGCAATAGTAATTCTTTTAACAAGTTAACCATACACCCCAATACAGACAATAGTAATTCCTTTAACAAGTAAACCATACATCCCAATAAAGACAATAGTAATTCCTTTAACAAGGAAACCATACACCCCCATAAAGACAATAGTAATTCCTTTAACAAGTAACCCATACACCCCAATAAAGACAATAGTAATTCTTTTAACAAGTTAACCATACACCCCAATACAGACAATAGTAATTCCTTTATCAAGTAAACCATACCCCCCAATAAAGACAATAGTAATTCTTTTAACAAGTTAACCATACACCCCAATACAGACAATAGTAATTCCTTAAACAAGTAAACCATACACCCCAATACAGACAATAGTTATTTCTTTAACAAGTAAACCATACACCTCAAGAAAGACAATAAAGACAGTAAGGTGCGTAGCTTTTATGACACTGGTAGGATATTACCTTCTGGCGATACAGGTAGTCTCACTTATGTCATTTCTTTTAACAATGAATATTTTTTAAGATAAATGGGGTATCCATATCCTATCATCCAAGATATGTGATAAATCTTAAGCAACCAAATACTATGTATATCCTAATTGTATTAATTGTATATCTATGTACTGTAAAGCACTTTAGAGTGGCTTATGTTAGCTAGATAGGGCGCTATATCAAATACACCCCAATAAAGACAATAGTAATTCCTCTAACAAGTAAACCATACACCCCCATAAAGACAATAGTAATTCCTTTAACAAGTAACCCATACACCCCAATAAAGACAATAGTAATTCCTTTAACAAGTAAACCATACACCCCAATACAGACAATAGTTATTCCTTTAACAAGTAAACCATACACCTCAATAAAGACAATAAAGACAGTAAGGTGCGTAGCTTTTATGACACTGGTAGGATATTACCTTCTGGCGATACAGGTAGTCTCACTTATGTCATTTCTTTTAACAATGAATATTTTTTAAGATAAATGGGGTATCCATATCCTATCATCCAAGATATGTGATAAATCTTAAGCAACCAAATACTATGTATATCCTAATTGTATTAATTGTATATCTATGTACTGTAAAGCACTTTAGAGTGGCTTATGTTAGCTAGATAGGGCGCTATATCAAATGTTGTATATTATTATGGAATCAAAGTTTGATTATAAGATAAAGAGGTTTTTCAAAATCTGATACAGTTTATCTCTCAAATGTAGCCTTGTACATTACTAGGACTCTGAATTACCTGTAACAACCATAACTAGTATTAGCAACGCCATAATATCCCGAAGTATGGAACATATATATATATATGCAAACCTTCATTCCAGAATCACCATAATATCACCTGGTTCCACTGCACATAGATATGGTACATCATGATGCTATATAAAGCCCCATATATGATTAACTGAACAGATGATTTCAACATCTGTAGTACTGTCTGGCAGCCATGTTGGTTTTCGATGTATGTATACTCACTCTGAAGGACATTTCCAGGTTCTCTCCACCCCAAATATCCATTCCTGGGTCGTAGGTACCGATTTTGGTAAAGTATTCACGACTGATGGAGAATAGTCCTCCGGCCATTGTGGGGGATCTGTAAATATAGAAACAGAGACATCACAGACAATATTCCATATATAACACAACATCAGGAAGTTTATAACTGTCCTCTGAATGCCTACACAGCCAATCAGAACTCATCTATAATCTATATATTCTATATGACTATAATCTATATATTCTATATAACTATAATCTAGAATAAAAACAAATTTTTCAGATCGTCCGCTATATAGATATATAGATCAAATCTATATATTCTATATGACTATAATCTATATATTCTATATGACTATGATCTATATAATCTATATGACTATGATCTATATATTCTATATGACTATGATCTATATATTCTATATGACTGATCTATATATTCTATATGACTATAATCTATATATTCTATATGACTATGATCTATATATTCTATATGACCATGATCTATGTATTCTATATGACTATAATCTATATATTCTATATGACTATAATCTATATAAATAAGTAGTCACATGTGGACATTTTTGAGCTAGTTTTCTCAAAGTGAAAAACACAAGCATTTACACACGTGAAATTTCCACTTCACAGTATTTGACAGTTGCTGAGATAGTCTGTCGACACAAGTAGCATTACAGGCAGTAAACATTATGAAATGGTCACTGAAGGGCTATTTTTAAGTGACATCTCACAGAAATGTGAGAGACTGGACAGTATTTGATGGATTGTCCTCTCATACAAGTAGAACAATAGTGAAGATCTAGATTGAAAGTCACTGATGTCAGCATTTCTAGGTAAAATAAATCTGTCTGTTATTTTTCCTGATCAGAATGGAATCACGTTAAAAAATGTAAAGCTTTTTCGACTGATTACATAGATTCTGTTCTAACCACAGGTATGAAAGTCTGTTCTGGTTTAAACTGTACAATTTCAGTTGTACAAATGAAGTCCGAGAAAAAAGCATTTGATCTACGATGTTATTCATGTATACAAGCTCAAGTGATAATAACTCCATTCAAACCGACCATGGCTTAGAGGCACCTTACCAGTGTCATCAAATCAAGCCAGAATTCCAAAATAGAACCAGTGTTCCAGAAATGGTTTCTGAACAATTTAATTCCAAAATGGGAAAAGCAAAATGTACCACTGCTGCACTAGTGGCAGCAATGGTTATGTCATCCTACACTCAGAGGCAAGTATGGACATTGATCTACAGGCTGAATATACCCAAATATCCTCAGTGATGACTAGAAATAAAATGTCCGGCCCTAACACACAGTGTTATGGAAAGAAAGTCTCCTTTTGTTACAGATATTTTTTTATAAGGTACTTCTTCAAAACTTGTGGAAACTATCTCAATAAACAAATACAAGGGACAACTCTAAAGTTTCCTGTGAAAAGATATATGAGAATTTGGGCGATGTTGTAGTGCTTCATTTCTGGAATGAATAGATAATGGGTGGTTGGCTGGCACAGTGGATAGCGCACTCCCTCGACTAGGTCTATTTACAAGTCTGCTGACAAATCCACTGATCTATCAGCTGACCAGTCTATTTACAAATCTACTGACCATCAACTGATCAGTCTATTTACAAGTCTACTGACCATTGACTGATACAAATCTACTGACCAATCAATTGACCGGTCTATATACCAGTCTACTGACCAATTGACTAAGCGGTCTATTTACCAGTCTACTGACCAATTGACTGACTGGTCTATTTACCAATCTACTGACCAATTGACTGACTGGTCTATTTACGAGTCTACATACTGACTAAGCGACTGACCGGTCTATGTACCAGTCTACTGACTAATCAACTGACCGGTCTATGTACCAGTCTACTGACTAATCAACTGACCGGTCTATGTACCAGTCTACTGACCAATTGACTGACCAGTCTACATACCAGTCTACTGGCCAGTCTATGTACCAGCCTACTGACCAATCAACTGATCAGTCTATTTACCAGTCTACTGACTAATCAACTGACCGGTCTATGTACCAGCCTACTGACCAATCAACTGACCAGTCTATTTACCAGGATACTGACTAATAAACTGACCAGTCTATGTACCAGTCTAATGACCAATTGACTGATACAGATCTACTGACCAATCAACTGACCGGTCTATGTACCAGTCTAATGACCAATTGCCTGATACAGATCTACTGACCAATCAACTGGCCGGTCTATGTACCAGTCTAATGACCAATTGACTGACCTGTCTACATACCAGTCTACTGACCAATCAACTGACCGGTGTATGTACCAGTCTAATGACCAATTGACTGACCAGTCTACATACCAGTCTACTGACCAATCAACTGACCGGTCTATTTACCAGTCTACTGGCCGGTCTATTTACCAGTCTACTGGCCGGTCTTTTTACAAGTCTACTGACCAGTCTATATTTGTACCAGTCAACTGACCAATTGACTGACTGGTCTGTTCACCAGTCTTCTGCATGCTGGAGTACATGGGCTATTAGTATGCAGACGCTACACCACGACCTGATCAAGTCCTGCTCAGATTAGATCAGCTGATGGAAATTTAATTTGGGCGATGATGGCCACAACTAATATCTTGGTATTGATGGGTCGATGCTGAGGTAGACACTGATGCTGGGGACTGTATCGGAGGGAACAGCCTTCTGTTCTCATACACAGTCTTATATAATTTTAAATACTTCCACAGACATATTTCGAAAAAGAACAAGTGACACTCTCCTCGACCCTTGCACCCAATCTGTCCAACACCTGAATAATCAGGACAATTCAGTATCACTTGATCTTAATTACAATCAGTATAAATCCCCCCCCCCCAACGTACCATAATTTATAACATGGATGATCTAAGTATTGTTATTACCTATACAGTGTATAAGGTTTAATTTGATGATGTCCCTATGGAGTGTGTAACGATGTTATCATGAAGTTACATTTGTGATAGAAGTTATCATAACGCTATGTTTTGTGATAGATGTTATCATAGCGCTATGTTTTGTGATAGAATTTATCATAATGCTACATTTTGTAATAGATGTTATCATAATACCATGTTTGTGATAGATGTTATCATAATGCCACATTTTGTAATAGATTTTATCATAATACCATGTTTGTGATAGATGTTATAATGCCACATTTTGTAATAGATGTTATCATAATGCTACATTTTGTAATAGATGTTATCATAATACCATGTTTGTGATAGATGTTATCATAATGCCACATTTTGTAATAGATTTTATCATAATGCTACATTTTGTAATAGATGTTATTATAATACCATGTTTGTGATAGATGTTATCATAATGCCACATTTTGTAATAGATTTTATCATAATGCCACATTTTGTAATAGATGTTATCATAATACCATGTTTGTGATAGATGTTATCAAAATGCCACGTTTTGTGATAGAAGTTATCATAACACCATGTTTTGTGATAGAAGTTATCATAATGCCACATTTTGTTATAGATTTTATCATAATGCCACATTTTGTTATAGATTTTATCATAATGCCACATTTTGTAATAGATGTTATCATAACGCCACATTTTGTGATAGAAGTTATCATAATGCCATGTTTTGTGATAGAAGTTATCGTAACGCCATGTTTTGTGATAGATGTTTTTATAACGCCACATTTTGTGATAGAAGTTATCATAATGCCATGTTTTGTGATAGCTGCTATCACAACGCCACGTTTTGTAATAGATGCTATCACATCTGCTATAAAGCACTGTAAGCCTTATTATGAGAAATGGGTCAAGCTATTCTTAAATACTTGTATCAATGATTGCTTTTGACGTGTTGAGAATTTGGAGGAAAAGCAAGAAAGATTTCTAGCTCTAATGGACATGTTTTTCAATTGAATTTAGAAATATTTCTAACAAGTGTTTTTCAGGCCTACAACCCTCGTCAACAATGAATGGCCTCTCGGGATTACGTGGACTTCACAACACATTAGCAGAAAACTTGATTGCATAATGAGCCCGGCAATACTTCTTTCCGACTTTAACAAATACTGCAGCAAATGATAAAAAAAAAACAATTCTGCCAATATGTACTCGCTCAATTTAACATTGAATGCAATGCCCTATAGTAAAACGTAAGAACACGCCCGACGTAGCCCGTAACACTGTAAGAACGCGCCCGACGTAGCCCATAACACTGTTTGTAAGAGTACAAGTCATTGGATACCCTAATTTGTCATATTGATTTAATTTTTATCATCGGAAATCCCTGCTAATGACATAAGTTGAAAATTTACCAGTTTTATTAGTCCAATCTTTTTCCTTCAGAACGTCAGCTGGTAATCAAGTCTGTAAATTAAACACTTCCACAGCCCAGAGTTGCTATTACTCGAAATCCATTGTTTTATCATTGTTAAGTGAATCATTAGAATATGTATGGTTCAATTCATATCTTGTGAAATTCATTTTGATTAAATCTGAATTATTTCGCCCATTCTAACATGAAAATCAGAAGATACCCTTAAAGTAACAGACCAGAATACAACCAACACACATAATAACAGGAGGATGCCATTTAAAAAAATAACTGAAATTACATCACTTAACTATCATTATAACCCCACCACCACCACCACCACCACACACTCCCAACCCAACCTAACCTCATCCCCCATTACATGCTCCCCAAACCCTTTCAAAACTAGCCTTGTATCCAACGCTACATGCTGCCAGCCCTCCATTCCAATCACCTAACTAAATGCCCCAACCCACTTCAATACAAGCCTTGTGTCCCACATTACATGCCCCCCTCCCCCTTCAATACAAGCCTTGCGTCCCACACTACATGCCCCCCCCCCCTTCAATACAAGCATTGCGTCCCACACTATATGCCCCCTACCCCCTTCAATACAAGCCTTGCGTCCCACACTACATGCCCCCTCCCCCTTCAATACAAGCATTGAGTCCCACACTATATGCCCCCTACCTCCTTCAATACAAGCCTTGCGTCCCCCACTACATGCCCCCCCCCCCTTCAATACAAGCCTTGCGTCCC